CCCCCACCCGCCACAAGCTGAAAGTTTTTAACGGATGCCACCGTGACACGGCCATGGAAGTTCAGGCACCAGCACCGGAGCTGCTCGTGCCACCTTGGTGTCTTGTTTTTCAGCACCAAGGCCGAGTCTTTTGGATGGCCCAAGTCCCCGGGTGGCGTGTTACTGCTGCTGGCTGGTTTGGATGGGGATCGGAACGGAAACGGGAACTCTGACGGCGTTGGAGCTACTCCTCCAGGTTCAACGGAGTTTGCAGGTATTGTATCCATAACGCAACGCATTCTTCTTGGTCCCCTGTCATTTCATCAAGAGATCAAGAAACCAGACAAAAGGTAACATAACATGGTTTTAATGTTTACTACACATACAAAGACCCAGTTTTGGAGTTTCTGATCACTATAAAAAAACCAGAAACAAAGAATGTATTCTCTAAAACCCTTCTCCCAAAATCTCTTAAGTTGTGAAATAAAACTCCGATGAATAGTCAGAAACATCTTTCAGAACCAAAGTTGAGAGACAACCAATCAAAGATTTTTGTTTTCAGCCCTCGGGACAAGAAAAATCTTACCGGGAGCCTAAGACGTTCAACTCGTATGAAATCTGACCAACAGGGTAGCTTCCAAGAGGAACCTTGGGTGAAACTTTCACGAGATGAGAAGAACGACGGCTCTTCCTCATCTTCGCTCCTGCGTTTGGTGGCTGGCCGTCAAAGACAGTAAATTTTGTTCCCAGGAAGTTCGATCTTGAAAATATTCAGAAAACAATTATATCAGCTAGAGATTTCAGATCGTTATAACTTCAAGTGAATTTGCTCAAAACTGTTATAGACTATAGTATCTCACAAAAATCCCACGAGGATTCTCCGACCAAGACAGTGGGATACAAGTGAAAGATTAACCAAATAAAAGACGGTAAATTTGGTTCTTTTTCCCTTTCTGGTATAAAACCATGCAAGTTCAGGTTGTTTGCAGTCACCTTCCACCAGCTAACTTATAAAGCCATACCTTCCATTTCTTATCCGAGCAAGTGAGCATATTATGTCAATAACGCCTCAGACAAATCAAACAGTTTCAAAGCCCGAAACTAGACAGATCGGATACAGACAAATCAAGCACAAACTATGATCAGACAATAACGGATCAATATGAAAAGCATCAGATATAAGACAATGGAACAAGCAGAGGGGTCATAGACTCAGCACCTCACTTTCCCAGTGTAAGCGTCACTTCTCCTTGACATATCATCCGGACGCAACGAGATGATGTAATCAGTACAAGTCGCGTGCTTGAACTTGCATGCAGCAAGAAGAAACTTCCCGTCATCCGTCAAAGCTGCCCAAAAGAAGCGAGATTTTTCAGACTATGGGAACTATACAGCAGTCTTGAAGGGATTATTCCTTGTCATTCAAATTTCAAAGTTCCAAATACAAACAAAACACGGAGAAAGAAGAGATGCATACCATTGGTTAACCCGAGATACAGATGATAAGTCTGAGTAGTTCGGTTGCGTTTTATGAAGCATTGGATCAGAGAATCCCTAGGGCCAGGCTGCACAAATACACCAAAGCTTCAATCTTTGTCATAACAACATCAAATGAATCATAAAACATTATAGCAACAATGAGATTTATCAGAAGACCTCATTGTACCCAAACCCGTTTTTGTTACAGCCACCGAGAAAACCTCCCTCTACCCATGAATTCAACCAAAAAAAAAAAAAACAAGACTTTTGCGCCATGTGTTTGGATTAAGATGTCCTAAAACATCTACATACAATTGGCATCACAGATTGTCATCATCAACATCAAACACAAACACGACCCGTAGGACTAAGGCTGTATTCCAATTGACTCTCTACTCTCTAGAATCAAGTGTACCATAAAAAGAGTGACTTAACATGAACAAAAACGGCAAAGTGTCATCACAAACGCCACTTCTGTCACAAAAACATAGACTCGATCCGCAAAAAGGACACAACTTTGTAATAATTCAACTTTGTAAGTGTATAACCTATATCATATTTACAGAGCAATTGATGGATAGAAACCTGTTTGAGAGAGATGGGGAATGTCAATTTGGAGGAGACTTCAGGAACAGCGACGATCTCTTTGGTGAGGAGTCTCCAGCCGCGGCAGACACCGGCGCAAGCCACCACGCTCCGCCGCGACGGCCAGGCACCACTGTCGTCCGTCTCGACTCTCGTCAGGATCTCCCTCAGCAGCTCCTCCGGAAGCTCCGACCACCGACACGGTGACTCCGACTCGTCGGATGAACCCGGCGGAGACTCGGCCGAGTCGTGGACCACCCGGTGAAGCCTGGGGCGCATCTCGTGGATTAAGCTACGGATCGTCATGGGGATTTAGAGGGGAAAATTAAGGGTTTTGGGGGCGATTAATCATTGATTAAGGACGCAAAAAAGGGGGGTTTGGATTGCTAATTTACAAGAGAATCGTGAAAGGTTTTAGGTGAGAGAGATGGTGGAGGTGGTGGCGCTGTTGTTGGGAGGTTCGAAGATTCGGATAATAATGGAGGCTTTCCTTTTGGACAAAGAAGACTTCACCCTCTCTTTGCTGCTACTACTTCCACTTCCAATTTCTTTTGTTTTTGTTTTTATTATTATTAAATTGTTATTAATTATTATCGTTAATTTAACAAAGTTAATAATTCTTATTAATAATTTTTGTATTTGTTTATAATTGTGTCCAAATTCAGACGTTGAAGATTTATTTCCATGAAATCTTAATAACTAAAAGTTTTTGTGTAAATAATTCCTTTTTTTTCCTTCTCTTCTATTTGCTTTAAATTAATGGTAAAATAAGTGGAATCTTATTTCTTTTTCCTTACAAAAATATAAGTTTTTAATCTATGATTTCAATTTCATGCACCGACATAAAAAGATGTCAGGCCAAGAACTTGGTCTATTTCGGATATCTCTTTCTTACCATTTTCTACCAATATCTCGTGATTTTTTTTGTCATTATTATAACGTTTATCAATATATCTGATATTGGATTTGATTTTATACCAATCAAAAATATGGATTTCTACAAAACAATATTATTCCCCTATTTGCCAAACCAGCAATGGACTCTCGAAACAAGAGGCACTTTCACCATTATGGGAATAAAAAATATTGTAAAGAATTAATTCAGAGCAAAAGCAGCATGTTTTTTTTTTAATACTAAAGACAAAAAAAGGGAGACTATTGTATAAAATTCATAAAATCTCCAAATAGAGTATCATATATATATAAATATATATCTATGTTGGTAGTTTGGAAAATTTTTAAAATCGAAGGTGGTTTGGAAAATAAGTGTGTGCCTTGGCCGCCTTTCTTGATGTGGTTGGAATATTTTCCATATACCTCTCTAACCATTATTACTATAAAAAAAATATATATTGAATTTGTGAATTAATGCATAACCGAACTAAAATCGAATTGAAAGTCACCAAATTCAGAGTTTCGCACAATATATACGTACCCATTTTTATTTGTTATTCTTCTAAATATATAACACGTGTTCAAGTTGTAAAACTACGAGTGACACACAAAAAACAAACAATTAGAAACACGAATAAATAATCGGTAATTTAAAACTAAAACTATTTAGAAACAAAAATAAGATGTTTTCATTTACCAAAATCAAATCAGATGTCTGCATGAAAGAAAAAAAAAAAACTCGAAGAGAGCGAGCCACATCACATGTGAGCAAAATAATAATAAAACAAAACAAATGTGCAAGCCGATGGACCCCACTTTCTCTCGGTATTATCCATTTCGGATCTTTTTCACAAATATCTAAAAGCGGGGCCCTCTATATTTTCGTTTATTCCGTTTCAATCCCCTGATATTTGAATTAGGGGTGGGCACGGGTCGGATACCCGGGAAAATCGAGAGATTTGGATTCAGACCCGGGAGGCTCGGGTATTTAACTATGAGATTTGTATCCGGGATTTGGTATTTACGAGTATCCGGGGTACGGGTATCCGGAATAATAGTCGGGTACTCGCGGATATCCGGATCCGGATTTATTTAAGAAAAACAACAATATTCATATATAAAATTTTTAAAACATGAAGATATATTTATAAAAATTGATGAATTATGATAAAATATATAAGACAAAAGAGATAATAAGAGACAAATAATAATAAATTTAATTTTTTTGAATTAATATTAAAAAAATATGAAATTATTTCATCTAAAATAATTGTATTTTATAAAAATGTTATATAAATATAAGATATAATTATTTATAATCATAATACGCGGGTACCCGCGGATATCCGGTTTTAAAAATTCTATTATCCGGATTTGGATCCGGATTCACGGGTATTGAAAAATAAGGATTTGGATTCGGATTTGAAAATTACGAGTACCCTAAAATCGGGTATCCGTGAGACGAGTATCCGACGGATACCCGATTTTCGGGTATTTGTGCCCAGCCCTAATTTGAATCATACAAATTTCATACCTTGGATAAGTTTACAAGACAACAGATTTAATAAGCACGACAAATTCGTGGCGGACCTTTGTATAGGTTTGTGCCAATGTGAAATGTCCTCATGCGCCTCCCGTTCGCTCTCACCACAGCTCACAGTTTAACATAAAATCAATTTAATAATATATATATACACACACCCCAAACAAATATATTTGATATATATTATGGTGTGAATGAGGTTTGACTACTACTACACGTTAAATTACACAAAAACAAATAAAAATAGATGAACCCAAGTAGACGCATTGTCCAATAACGAAATATGATATATAGATAGAAAAGGTGGTGCACCAACTCGATGTGTATGATGACATGATTGGTTTAGAAAGGAGAGAAAAAGCATATGGTGGGTAGGAGTAGTGCAGGTATCATATTTTCCTCCTTTATCCTTTTCCAATGATTGGGACTCCTTAAGACAACGCACTCCCTCTCTAATGTTCTTTTCGGTTGTCCCTTTCCACTTTTTAAAAGACCCCCCAAACTCATAAACGGAGAATTGGAACATTTGAAAAGGGAAAAAGAAAACTCTCTAATAAGATCATATGCCCGGCCCATTTTAAGACATAATGTTATAAGACAAAAATAAATATTTAGTATCATAAACATTTTGTTTTAAAATAAAATCAAATTCAAAACGTAAGCAAGGAATGGATAAGATATTCAAATAGAGAAGGGTATTAAATGTTGTACGGAGAATTACAATATACATTAGGATACAAAGGGAAGAAGAGCATGCTCAAAGGTATGTTTACCTCGTGAGAAGAATCAATTTGCCCGCAACTCAGCTGCAACGTAATGATCCTGCATTCGAACAAATATTACACATCCATGAAAAAAAATTTAAAGATTCGTGTTCACGAAAATAATAATCCATAAGGAGGAAATAATTCCATTAACGAAAAGATTTCATGATCTTTCACTTCTAAGATTCTTAGATTAGAAGGGTTGCCAATCATAGTCACAGAGATCTTTATTGATCGCTACGCCCTCCAAAAAGTTTGGAAGAGAATGAAAGTACCTTAGTTTTTGAACTCCGGTTACAGAGTTCAGGCACAACGGGGCAGCCTCTGCAACTCTACAGCAACAAGCGAAGCCACGTTGCTAAGACAAGGAGCGACCTCCGAGTTCTTCATCTCAGAGACAATGGTGTTGATCTTGGAGAGATCGTGTCCCGATATAGACAGGATCATTGCCTGTGACATGTACTGCCTGCACGAATATCCCAAACAGTGCAAAACCCGTTTCAGAACCAGCAATTGCGGTTCATCTTGCTGCTGTCCTGTGTTCTTCTTCCTTCGCCATGCCTCTAGAACAGGCGTGACCTTAGGAAGATTAGTCAGAAATCCCGTGGTGGCCTCCCTTGAAGCTGCTCTTAGCAGCAAGAGGACACATTCCGAGGCGATGTCTGCAACTGTTGTGTTGTCCGATGCCACGAGTTCCAATAACATGCCCATGTTGCTTCCAAAGTCCGATATGTCCCTTATGCATTCTTGTGGATCGACGTCCAATGTTAAACCGCTGTCTGATAGGAGTGTCGGTTCTTTCATGTGGTTGGAGCTAAGGTCTTTTTTACTCCCGAGAGAGCGTAGCAAAAAAGCTTTGCAGAGGCTTAGAGTCGGTTCAAGGAAATCTTCCATGTCTTTTGCGTAGATGAATTCTAAAAGATTTCCGATTCTCCTCACTACTTTCAGCTGAGAGAGCAGTTTAGTCTCCATCTCTGGAGCCGAGGCAAGAGCCAAACACAGCTTGACATTGCTAACGTTTGCGCTGGACAAGTCGCCTAGAAGAAACTCAAAGCATTGTGAGACAGTCTTCAGATGTAAGATATCGGATATCTTGATGTAGTTGAACTCAACAAACATGACAAGGAGCTTCTGCGCATAAGCTGGGATGGGGTCCTCGTCCTGGATCAGGGCAGGGTAGAGAGGGAGGAAATGAGAGTTGGATACAGACTTCAGATCCTCCGATGTTCGTTGCTCAATGCCGGAGGACTCGGTTAAGAGAATTGTCATTGAATCAAACCAGATTTTCAGACAGAGAAATCGAGCATCCCCATCTTTGTTCCCTTTATAGATAGCAGCAAGACTCGGAAGCATCTCCCTGATGAAAATTTCTGCATTCTGGGTTACCAGAGGCGAGTCTTCTGCTATGCATTCCAGAACTTGCAGAAGGGTTATCCTGAAGTCATCTCTTCCCTGCAAATCATTAACAAGCAATGAGGAATTGAAGAGTGCATTTGTAGTAACTAATAAGAAAATCCAGAAAGTTTTTAACACTTTGGTCTGTGTAATTGTAATTTATCCTGCATCTTCCGTCTTCAAATCGAAATACGAGAATCAATGATCACTGTTTATCATAAGGAGAAGATGCCTAGATTTATGATTCCTGAACCAATTCCATTGCTGCCAAAATTAGAAACAAGAAGCATGGAAACAGAGCATACTGTTGATCTATGATAGAGAGACAGAAACTAATAACAAACTAGGCACAGCAAATTTGCAGCTACTGACCTGAAATGAGGCTTCCACAAGTTTCGTAAGATTTACCAACTGACGTAGCACTTGCTGAGTTACCATCTTGTTCTTAAACGACGAGCTTCCAAGTAGATGAAGGACAATAGGGAACAAGTGCGCACTAGTCTTTGGAGGAGCTCGGCTGTTAAGGGGAGAGATGGGCCCATGTCTTCTTCCCGTCATCAGTTGCTGGATATCATTGGTTATTGTATCCAGCAAACCTGGTACTATGGAGGTGACCAAGTTTACAAATGCCTCAAGACATTGTTGCACGAAATTATCTTTTTCTTTAGTCAGTCTGTCCACAACAGGCAAAAATCTTGAACTGCAGAAAAAATGTGGCAGCCAACGCCTACTACTCTTACAGAGAAATGCGACAAAAAGGAGAGCTTTGCCCCTAAGAACTTCACTCCCTTGCTCTATGATGGATAGCAGACTGGGGAGAAGACTTTTCTCCTCTGCCAAGGCCACAAGATGCCTTCCAAAGCTTGTGAATGTATGACTTCCAATCATAGCCATGTTGAGAAGATTTAAACAAATTTGCTGCTCCCGTGGACTTCCTTTGACAAAAGTCGAAGCTATTTCCTTCAGCGAAAGCTTTTCTACGATGGACTGAATGCAAGTAGGGTTAAAACGTGCGAGACGGACCAAACATGATCCTGCAGTCAGTCTCATGCTTTCCTGTTTTCCAGCTGCTCTGTAAATATAGCACAAGTTGCTTATCAAATCTTGGCTGGAGAATCTTGTGGCCCAACAAGGTCCTTGACTGCAGATATTTTCTATTGTCCTCAAAGCATAAAGTTGTGTAAGATCATCTTCGCCTTTGCGTAAGACAGATGACACAAGAGCGATCAAAGCATTTGGAACCTGTTCCAAGAAAGCAAGTAATTTGCATCAATAGGAACCGACAGGAAGGCAGAACATTATGAGGAAGAACAGTTTAGCAGCTATTTCAAGCATCTTTTGATATATGTGATGAGGGGGAATTATATGTCAAACAATCCATTTTTAAGATAACAATCACAGGAAGCTAACCTGCCAGCCAGATGATAACCGGTTTTCCTTCGATGGGGATTCTGCTGGTTTCAAATCCTTGTTCTGCTCATTTTGAGTAGAAATGTAGAATAGCAATTCACCTAGAGCAGCCATGGAAAACCTTCTTACTTTTTCATGCTTGTCTCTGAGGCCATTTGTGAGAGAATCTATAATTCCAGAATTTGCCAGGTCATCCTCTATAACAGTAGAATGTCGAATTAACAAACCAATTAATGAAGCGAGTAAGACCCGGAAAGCTGGGGTCTTAGACAATCGGAGAACTTTAACAAGCACAAGCATGATTGGTCCATTGGTCAAGGTATTGGCTGCATCAGCATTGCTACTCAATGTCTCAAGGTATCTGATCACATTCTGTTTCTCTGAAATGCCAGCACTGCTACCAGTTAAAATAGTTATGATCCTATTGGTGAGTGGCTCCAGCTCTTGTCTTGACATCTTAATGAAATCAGATGCCTGTGGTGCTTCAAATGGAAAAGAAGGCATAGCTTCTCTGTCAGATTTCCTGCTGGGCACCACAGGTCTAACAGCAAGATCAGATATATGCCAAAAGATGTCTGAAAGGCTATTAGATGATCTAGCAGAATCGGGATTAATAGCGAACCCACTAACGTCTCTGCCACGGTGAGTTTTAAGTTGAGGACTAGCACTCGGTAGGGCAGCAACTTCAATGGGCTCAGATGGTTGTTCTTCGCGACAGTCTCCGGCTTCACTCAAGGCTGGTGTTTCATTAGTGGACGCGTCATCAACTGGCACATTATTGCTTATTGCTTCCTGTCCTGCCTGATTTCCATTTCGGCTTGAAGGTCTTTCATTAAGTGCAGAGGCGGTGCTCTCAGGTCCATCTGATTCATCGTGTCCCTCTTCATCATTGTTTTCCTCAAAATCAAGCTCCATGTCAGTGTTCTCAATCTTGACCTCGGCACAATTTTCATTGCTATTAGGTAAGTGCCTCCGATAGTTTTCCTTCTCATTCTCCTTTTGCAAATTTGTTTTTGCGATTCTTGACAACCTCAAGATATTCACCTGCCTGGTAGCACCCAGACGACCTCCTTGTTTTTCCTCATTTGCCTTGCTAGGAAGCTTTGTTTGTGTTTTAGAACCACCTGGTGTACCCTTGACTGGTGTCTGATGCCCTCTCGAACCTGAAATAGAGTTCTCATCGTGTTTTGAACCTCCTTTTGCATCTTTCTCCCGATATTTTGGAGGGGTCTTGTTTGGTCGCTCCCCGTTACGCTCAGATAGACATGGTTTTGTATATATTCCAATCATATTATCAAAAGAAGGCTGAGGAGGCAATGGCACTACATTAATCTTACTTCTCCAAAATGCATGACTGCAGAGCTCTGGCCATTGTATTCTTTGAGCTGGATCTTTGACAAGAAGAGAATCAATAAGATTCACGAATGAACGGCTTGGATTTCCTGTTAAAGGAGGTGTTTTCTCTGAATGGATTGATTTCACAAGCTGAGTAAATTCTCTAGCCACAAAAGGAGGCCTCCCTGTGTAACATTCATAGAGCACGCAGCCAAGTGCCCATAAGTCAGAAGCAAAAGAATGGACCCCTCCATCCTCGTACAGCTCTGGAGCCATATAATAAGGTGTACCACGTTTTCCCTGAAGCAAAGCATCTCAAAAGGTGTAAAAAATCGACAACATAAAGTTTTAAGTTAAATCAGAACATCTTAATTCCTGTAATGCCTCTAGTGCTCAGATCAGTACAACACAGACATAGCAACTAAAATAAAAGACAGCCACAATTGTTTACCGTGGAAGGAGATTTGGAAATGTCATCCAGTTTCCTTGCCAGTCCGAAATCACACAGCTGCATCGCACACAGCATTAGAATCATTTAAATCCAATCATAGGTCGTCACAAACTCCATGCCTCAATAGGAAAAGGACAAACGTGTTGGTACCTTGATATGTCCATTCTCATCAAGTAAGATGTTTGATGGTTTCAGATCACAATATATGATTCCTTTCGAATGCAAGTATCTGAAAAGTTCAGAGAAGGATGCCCATAAGGTAGAACATTTTCCAAATTCATCTAGAAGGAATAGCATGAAAACAGACTGGTAAAAAAGAAACTTACAACAAAGCTGTGACAAGATCATAGGCAAGGCCATGGATGGAATCTTCTGGCAGTTTGGAGTCCTGCATTACAAGCATATTCAGTAAACTCTTTTTCATACTCATGACTAAACAGAATCCGACCAAAAGCAGACCTGTTGCAGTAAGGTTCTGAGATCGCCACCAACACAGTATTCGAGAACTAACCACATGTGAGCTGAAGTTTCATACCTAAGACCATAAGAAGAAGTGAATTAGAAGAAAAAACATATACCATAGGAAAATTCAAGTATGTCAGCAAGGTCTACCTACCATGCATAAAACTTCAGTACATTGGGATGATTCAGGGAGTGAAGAATCCTGACCTGAAAAGACAAGAATAAATTAAGAAATCATCATTCTCTATGTGAAGCCCAAACAATTCAACACAACTTTCTACTTGCAGAGAGAGTCCAAAAATAGCAACTAAACTCATCAGCAGAGAATCCGATAAAAATAATCGCGAGAAACCCAAAAAAATTCCCGGGAAAAGTAAGCATTCAAGCATATCAGCAGACCGCTTTCAGACACAGCGACACGGGAATCACGCATTTCGGCTAGAAGACGAATTACCTCTTGAAGAACCCTTCCCTTGTGAAATAGCAACTAAACTCATCAGCAGAGAATCCGATAAAAATAATCGCGAGAAACCCAAAAAAATTCCCGGGAAAAGTAAGCATTCAAGCATATCAGCAGACCGCTTTCAGACACAGCGACACGGGAATCACGCATTTCGGCTAGAAGACGAATTACCTCTTGAAGAACCTTTCCCTTGTGCGATTTTTCCACGCTCTTGCAGGCAAAATACTCGATCGTCTTCTTCTTCCTTCCTTTATAAACAGTCTGCAAAAGATGCGAAACCGCTCAACGAAATGTGATCGAAAACACTAAGAACAAAAGATTATCTGGGAAACAGTAAAGCAAAATTGGGAAGTACCGAGCATTTGCCATGGCTTCCGATCTTTAGTTCGCCGGAGATCCAACCGGGGAAACTTTTGCCGTCGAACCAGATTCAAGATGAGAGAGAGAAAGAGAGAGAGGGAAAATGTGGAGAAATAAAATTGAAAAAAATGGAACCCTAAGATTAAGGAAAAAGGCGACCGGGATAACGTTCAAATGCTAAAATTTGAAAATGCGCTGGTCTCGTTTTTCTTTTTCAAACTAAAATGGGCCGATCAACACATTAGGCCCAATAAGGCCCATTTTACTTATGGATTCTTTTTTCACGTAACGTCTCATTTTCCGACAACTAAATTTGGGCCTATTAGCAATATAGGCCTAATAAAGCCCATTCCTTCTGCTTCACCTAACATGGTTCATTTTTATGGTTTATATAAAAGGGAGAAATCTATAAATTCCAAAGGATGTGGAAAAAAAAAGTGTAAGACCAATTTTTTTTTCCCGTTTGTGCCTAATGGCAGCTGCTTCAACCTCTCTCACCTACCAAGTGGTCGCCGAGAGGGGACTTTCCCCTTCCTTCACCAACCTCCGGCGTCCGTTCGCTGATTCTTCTCTCCGCTTCAATTCCAACGGCTTCTCCGCCGGATTCTCTTTCCGGTTCGCCGGTAACTCCCGAGCTTCGGTCGTCTTCTCCGATCGCCGGCGCCGTCTAACCATGGAGCCGACCAATGTCTATGTAAAAGACTCTTCCTTTTAGATTTTTCTATTCCGGGTTCTTTCTGATTTCTCGTAAAATTCCGCGAGGACGTCGGAGTGACAATGGTCATCGGAAAAGTGTCGGTGTTTTTTAAATATTTTATTTGTTTTTGGAGTTTACAGATGAAGAACTCGATTCTTCGTGTTGGAAATTGGTTTCGTTATTTTCTTCTAATCAATGTATAAGCTCTGAATTAAAGTTGATATCTTTAGTTCTGCTGCTGGGTTGTTGGATTGGAATTTACAACTTGAGATGAGGCTAAAGAATTGTGAGCTGTATCCTGTTTGAGCCTTTAGGTTGCTTCGAATTCTACTGAAAAGGAGGTTGGAAATGAAGAAATTAGGAAGAATCCAAGCTTGATCTGTGCTCCGGTAATGGCGGATTCGGTAGACAAGATGGTGGCTGACACGTTTAAAGCCAAAGAATTGGGTGCGGACCTTGTGGAAATCCGATTAGATAGTCTCAAGACATTCAACCCACACGAAGATCTGAAAACCATTATAAAGCAGTCTCCTTTACCCACTCTGTTCACTTACAGGTGTGTATGTGTGTGCAAAGATTGAAACTTTGCCATGTTTTATCTTGAACTTCTCTGGACGAAAATCCTGATTAAGCCATTGACTTGGTTTTTGTTTTGGTAGACCAAAATGGGAGGGTGGTCAATATGAAGGCGATGAAACGGAGAGGCAGGACGTGCTTCGTCTGGCCATGGAGTTGGGAGCTGATTACATTGATGTTGAGCTTCAGGTTACTCTGTAGTCACCATTGAACCCAAAGGATTTTGGTTTTCTAGAGAGATGGTTTAACGCTAATCACTCTGATTATTTGTATGTTAAGGTTGCTGGTGAGTTCATCAAGTCAATTCACGGGAAGAAGCCTGACAAGTTTAGAGTCATCGTTTCATCCCACAACTATCAGAATACTCCCTCCGTTGAGGATCTCAATGGTCTCGTTTCAAGGATTCGAGCCACTGGAGCTGACATAGTAAAGATTGCTACAACTGCTGTAGACATCACAGATGTTGAACGCATTTTCCAAATAACCTCAAACTCTCAAGTAAGTACCATACATATTGTTGACTACAAGTGAACTCGAGCATTCTATACTCATTTGTTCTGGTTCTTTTTTACTCCATTTTCAGGTTCCTACAATTGGGCTTGTCATGGGCGAGAGGGGTTTAATGTCTCGGATACTTTGTTCAAAATTTGGTGGGTATTTGACTTTCGGAACCCTCGAGTCTGGAAAAGTTTCTGCGCCTGGTCAGCCCACAATTAAGGATTTGTTAGATCTTTACAACTTTAGAGGGATTGGTCCTGATACAAAGGTGTATGGAATTATCGGCAAGCCTGTCAGTCACAGCAAATCGCCTATTGTTCATAATCAGGCGTTCAAATCAGTCGGTTATAATGGGGTATATGTACACCTGTTAGTTGATAATCTCGCAAACTTCCTCCAAACATACTCATCCCCTGATTTCGCTGGGTTCAGGTAATCTTCCATAGTAACGTTTTAACCTTTTACAATGTCGGGTATCTTCTTTCTGTTTCTTGGTCACAGTTGTTGAGCTGTATCTTTGTGGCGAATGACAGAAATTTCTTTTACCTGCAGCTGTACAATTCCTCACAAAGAAGCAGCCCTGCAATGTTGCGATGAGGTTGAGCCATTGGCAAAGGTCTGACTCGTTAATAACTAGCCAGATGATCGTTCTAGTAACCCTAGTCACTGCTGCATTGAGAATCATTTTGTTATGTTGCAGTCAATAGGAGCTGTGAACACTATACTGAGGAGACAAAGTGATGGAAAGTTGCTTGGTTACAACACAGATTGTTTTGGTTCCATTTCTGCTATTGAGGACGGGCTACGTAATATATCCTTTGTTCATTACTTTGCTTTCTTCCATTCTTACTCCCTTGTAGAGAAGGTTCGGTTTCCATGAAAGAAAGTTCCCCTCTGCTTACAGGCTCAATTGATCCAAACAGTTCACCTTCTTCTTCACCGTTAGCTGGTAAAACTGTGGTGATTATTGGTGCTGGAGGTGCTGGCAAGGCCCTTGCTTATGGTGCCAGGGAAAAAGGGGCCAAAGTTGTAATTGCTAATCGGACATATGGTTAACATCTGCTCCTAAATCTCTACGTTTTGCTTCACCATTACTGTCTTTTTTTTTTTGTATCATAATCCTTGGCATTGGCATTATCCCTTGTCATTTCCCTCATTCGATCTGGTTGTGACTTTAGTTCTTTGTCATGTGTTACTAAAGAACGAGCTCGAGGACTGGCCGATGCAGTTGGAGGTGTAGCTTTGTCTCTTGTGGAGTTAGAGGATTTCCACCCGGAGGATGGCATGGTTCTCGCCAACTCCACATCTATAGGAATGCAGCCTAATGTCGACGAGACTCCCATTCCCAAGGTTTGCCCTCTTAGTTTTCCTTCCTTTTTCTTTTCCCATTGGAAATAACATACAACCCCTCTCATATCGAAGTTCCATTGTCGTGATTGAAGATTGTGTTTAATCTCGGTTACCATCCTTCGTAAAATGCATGCCAGGCACTAAAGGATTCTCTCCAGTTTTATGGAACAGAACCCGGCTTTCTTTAAAGTCTCTCTCTCTCTTAAATTTGTTCTGCAGAGAGCGTTGGAGCGTTATGCACTGGTGTTCGACGCTGTATATACTCCAAGAATCACCCGACTCTTACGGGAAGCAGAAGAGTGCGGAGCCAAAACGGTCTCCGGTTCAGAGATGTTCGTCCGGCAGGCGTACCAGCAGTTCGAGATTTTCACCGGTTTGCCCGGTAAGACTCCCACCCATTAAGATGAAGAACCTACACTCTGAATATTTACCGAAGAAAAAACCCTACACTTTCTTTCTTGCGAAGTAAAGTTGGAACCTTTGTGTGAAAAACTAAAACTTTTGTCGGCGTTTTTGTGTTTCTTGTATGATATGGTCCGACATGTACATATATATATATATATGTATGTATGTATTGATCTTTTTACGTAAACTGGCTCTTTTTGCAGCTCCCAAGGAACTCTTCTGGAAAATCATGTCAAAGTACTGAGGATTTCTCATGCAGTTGAAGATGTACTTCCAAAGATATGATCAAACCCCCCCTTTTTTTTTTTCTTTCAAGTTTTCAAAAAAAAAAATCTGAGAATATTGTTTGTGCGGCCATAATAGCTGGTCTCTGTATTTACAAGCTTGTGATTGAATAATACGCCCTGTGTTTGCCTTTCTTTCTTAGAACAAAAAAAAGTTCGTTTACATGCATTATACGTATAATTATAAACATACTCTGCAATATTTGACAAAAAAAAAAACATATTCTAGCCTGAAATTGAGATATATAGCTTCACATTTCCGACATATGTGAAAGTAGAAAAAAAAAAGATAAATGAAGATATATATTTCATGATATTTGGACAAAAGGGTTGTTCTTGGTTTCTATCGAAATCCCGACTTTGTTTTGCCACGAATTATCCTATTAATTTTTCTAGAAATGAAATATTTACTACTCCTCGTCATTTTTAATAAACATGCATTTTCAATTTGATGTTTCAATTATTTTTGCATTTTGGTATTCTAATAATTTTTTTAGTTAATTTGATATAAATAAAATTATAACCAATCCGTTTTAGATATTATTCGCTTTAAATATAATAAAACATTATTTAATTCTATTTTATATATCCAAATCAATATATATATATATAATATCAAACTGAAAATTTGTATTTTTAAAAATAAAATTTGATAAGAAATGGAGGGCGTGTGTGTAAATATCAGAAAATACATGTCCAAAAAAGTAACCTCTAATTTTCTGGGAATTACAAGAACGCCACGTGGACGTGTATAAATCGTCTCTATATCGTTTTTCCCTCTCAGTGAGGCAGAGAGAAATTTGAGTGGAAAGGCGGGATGGCTTGCACCGCTTCGACGTGAGCGTCTTCGCCGGAGCATTTTCTCTCCTCCGTCCGTTCATCTCCGTCTCTCTCTCTCTCCTCCAAAATCCAGGTGGGCTCCGTCTTCTCTCTCCGGTCCGTATTTTGCCCATTCTCCATTCTCGAGACAGATCCGATTGCGGCTCTCCTGTTCTTCCTTGCTCTCGACGATTTGCCTCCGTTTTCTGGGTAATTCGTCTTCCGACATATTTGTTCCTTTGATTCTTGAACTGTTTATATGTTTTCTCACGTGTCCTTCAGTGAACCGTTGCTCTGTTTTTTTTTTCTGGTTATAAAATTCAAGTTTGAATATGACTGCTTGGTTTTCGCTGGATGCTTGCGATTGTTCTAGGGTTTTGGGTTTTCGTTCTTCCCAAGTATTTTTCCTTTCTCCGATTCCGATATTCGACTTCTGTGATACAAAAGGCTGTGTCGGTTCGAATTTCACAACATGTCCTTTTTTCTCTGCGGGCTTAATAAATATAAAGGTTTTGCTTTTCACTTGTTCTGCGTATTTCGATTATCTGACCGTTGAATGTCTAAGAGATCCACATCTTATACATAAATATGTAGACATGTATCATGTATGTATATGCATCTGCTTTGCTGTTGAAGTGTGTACTGTTCATGTAAGCTCTGTATGAATATGTTTCTCTGCATTAATGCTTACCACACCAATCATCCGGAAAGTTGTAATTGTAGCATAAATATTTTCAACCATATCGCAAACCTGACCCGGATCGGTGTTTTCTTCAGGAACCAAACAGAAGTGAAACTGAAAGCCAACTTGTCTTCATCTCTGGTTTGGAGGGAATATATCGCTGAGTTTGGAAATCTCTTGGGGGCTTGTGTCTTTTATCGGTTCTGGGTGATAATGATGAACATCAACAGAGATGAGGCTCTTAGGGCCAAAGAAATAGCCGAGGGTTTGATGAAAAAGGCAGACTTTACCGGCGCTCGGAGGCTTGTGGTGAGGGCTCAAAAGCTGGACAGCAACCTGGAGAATATCTCCCACATGATGATGGTGTGTGATGTGCATTCTGCTGCAGCAGAGAAGGTGTTTGGTAACGAGATGGATTGGTACGGCATACTTCAGGTTGATCAAAAGGCGGACGATGTTGCTATCAAGAAACAGGTCAAGAAGCTCGCGTTTCTGCTTCACCCGGACAAAAATAAACTCCCCGGCGCTGAAGCTGCCTTTAAATTGATCGCCGAAGCTCAGAGAATACTTTTGGACAGAGATAAAAGGTCACTCTATGACATGAAACGCAGAACCGGGAGCAGACCTGCAGGAGCACCGTCATGTTATGCACAGAATGCTGTTCGGACAAGTCAGAACACTGGGAACAACTTCACAGGATTCAGACCCGAGAACCAGAAACAGCAGCGAAAAACTCAAGCTCAACCAGCTGGTTTCTGTGGCGGTACAAGATTTTGGACCTTGTGCCCGTTTTGCCATATGAGGTACGAATACCCGAGGGTACATGTCAACAAAGTTGTCACTTGTCAGAAATGCAAAAGGCGTTTTACAACATTTGAAGTCCCTTTTCAAAGTGCTCCAAGGGCCATAAACTCGGTTCAAACAACTTTCTCCTTTCCCAAACCAAAACATGTTCCAACTCGAGGGGCTTGCAATGCAAGGCAGAACCATCCGGAAGATTCTGCCTCATGTTTCTCTAGGAAGGAGAGTTTCCCTGTGTCAGGCTGTACTGCGAGAGGTTTGGGCGAAGCAACTTCTGGTATTCCCCGACACCAAAATGTCTCAAATAAAAATCCGTCAAATGTAGAGCAGAAGCATCCACAGACATCCTCCTTGTATCATCCCGTAAAAGATGGTACACCTGTTTCTGGTTGTAATGCTAAGGTTGGCGCTGAAAACATCGGTGGGAACAAAAAGAGAAAGAAAATTGTTGAATCCAGTGAAAGTTCTGATAGTGAAAGTGTCGGCGAGTCTGAAGAAGTTATGATTGAAAAGAAAGGTGATGTTATGGCTGGACGAGGTTTGGGATCTGTCGGGGGACAGAACCTTCGGAGGTCTCTGCGTAGAAAGCGGAACATTTCCTATAACGAGAATTCGAGCGACAATGAGCGCAGCTTTGTAAACATCAATCAAGGAGGGTCCAAGGAAAAGAGGGAAGCAGAAGCGGCTGAAGAGTCAAGAACCCGAAAGCAATCGTGTAAGGACGGTTCGTGTAATGGAACCTTGCCAAATGGTATAAACAAGAGCAAGAACTCTAAGGAAACAGAAATCGACCAAGTGGGAGCCTCTAAGGAAAATTCTGTTTTTCGTCGTGACTCTAAGAGTGATTCAAGTTTAGAAGGACCAAGGAATCTGGAATGTGCTGATCCAGATTTCAACGCCTTTGGTGAGTTGAGGAAACAGAGCAAGTTTGTGTCTGGACAGATCTGGGCTGTTTACGATGCTCGTGATGGAATGCCTCGGTTCTACGCTTACATCAGAAAGGTTTTTGCTTCCCGTTTCAAGCTTAGTATAACGTGGCTAGAGGAAGAACCAGGTGATGACAGTGGAATTTCATGGGTTAACGCAGATCTGCCCGTTGCTGTTGGCAAGTTCGGGTTTGGAATGACTGAAAACACGGTGAATCATGCCATGTTCTCTCACGTGATTTCCAATGGAGAAAGATACAAGAAGCCTCCTTTCAGGGTATTGCCGAGAAAAGGCGAGACATGGGCTCTCTTCAAGAACTGGGACATCAACTGGTCTACTGACCCGGATTCTCACCGCGAATACGAGTATGAATTTGCTGAGATCTTATCAGACCATTCTGACGTAGCTGGCGTATCTGTTGCATTCTTGCGTAAAGTGAAAGGCTTTACAAGTGTTTTCTGTCGGATGCCGACAGTTGGATCGGACACAATTCAGATTCCGGCTCATGAACTGTATCGGTGGTCGCACAGTGTCCCATCATTCCGATTGACTGGGAATGAAAGGGAAGACGTGCCGGAAGGTTCGTACGAGCTCGACCCGGCAGCTTTACCAGAAAATACTGAAGAGATATCTGCTCCAGCGGTGGTGGATTCAAGCCCGATATCGGAAACCCTAGATGATCATCGCTCTCCGGCTTCAAACCCTGATGGTATCGTGATTCCTAAACCCCGGTTCAAAGACTTTGATGCTGATAAATCGGAGGAAAAGTTTCAAGTCGGCCAGATATGGGCATTGTACGGGAAAGACGACGGCTTGCCCAAGCAGTACGCCAAGATTCAGAGAGTGGAAAAGAATCCGGCGCTTAAACTGCAGATAACCTGGCTAGAGCCGAAACGGCTTCCAGCGAGCGTCGTCAAGTGGCGCGACGGAAACATCCCCGTCTCGTGCGGAACTTTCGGCTTAACGAAAGGTCCGTCGCACACAGTGACCGATGTGTCCGTGTTTTCGCATCGGATGGAAGCGGAATCCTCGGGGAGAGGGAGCGAGTTCACCGTCCTGCCCGAGAAAGGGGAGGTGTGGGCGATGTACAAGAACTGGAGCGACGGGATAAAAGTGTCGGACTTGAAGAAGTGGGAATACGACGTAGTGGAAGTGGTCGAAGTGGAGGAGGGCCGGGTGGAGGTGATGGTGATGGAGCGAGTAGGCAGGGCCGGTACGGTGTTCCAGAGAGGAGGAGGAGGGTGTGGGGTGAGAAGGACGTTCCCGAGATCAGAGCTGATGAGACTGTCGCATAAAGTGCCGAAGTATAGGTTAAGAGGGACTCTGAGAGGGTGCATGGAGCTGGATCCCAAGGCGCTGGCGAGAAACTTCTTCACTTCATGACTCTCTTGATGATGATGATGAATTTTGCACAATCTATGGTTTTTGTTTTTGGGGTTTAGATTCAAGTAATGAAATTCACTGGGATTTGTTTTGTGTTTTCTGTTTAGCCGAGTTAACATTCCTACTTTTGTTGTTACTCTCCCCCTTTTGCACTTTCTATAAAGGGCATTTGGTCTAGTGGTATGATTCTCGCTTTGGGTGCGAGAGGTCCCGAGTTCGATTCTCGGAATGCCCCTTTTTTTTAACTAAGAAAAATGTTAGATTTTAAATCACTTGTCATTTTATTGAATATTAATAAGCAAAGATAGAGAACGTACAAAAACCCGAGGGACAACCCAGGCACAGAGTGTTCGCTGCCGCATTTTTTCCTTTTTAAAATAACTCCTCTGTTTTTGTACATATATATTCGCTTCCACTTATCATACCGCACGTGTACATACGTGTATACGTGTACACTTGCGTGCATGTATATACGTATATATGCAGAGTGAACGTTGCGTGTTGCAAGAGATTTCATGGATAGCCTAATGCGAAGCACATCTCCCAGAAGAGCTTATCCTCCAACCCCTCCATTATCGTTTCCTTGTCACTACCCCACCGCCTTCTCTTCACCTCTTCTTCTCCTCCTCCTCCGCCGTCGTCCTCCGCCGGCGTGAGAGCTTTTCCGGCGCCGGATATACTCTGGTTCGTCTCTTCTCCGCCGCCTTCGACATCTTCCTCGTAACTCGAAACTACTGCGGAGTCGACGTCATCGTTGTCGCAGTTAGCCTCGAGAATCATCATCATGTCTCGACGGTCAATCGTGTCGCAGTTGCATGACTCGGCGGTGTCTTCGTCGCCTTCGCCGTCAGCCTCGCCGGAAAACCAGAAACACGTGTCGGAATCTCCCGTTTCTTCTACCAGGAAGAAACGAGAGACATCCATTGAAGTACGTATATAGTGTTAATGTAAGCCTTGCGGGAGTGGTGCATCCGACCAACACTTATACACACACACCTGCACCTATATGTGTGTATATATATATATAATAGACTGTAGATATACATTTGTGATAATATATGTGTGATGACTAAAGTTTTGGCAGTTGTTTTGCCTAAACATCCCTATTGACTGTAGAAATGTCTTTTTCTTTAGACTTCATATATATATACATATATATATATATAGTGTGCATGTGTATATGTATTGGACGTCAAGGATTTCTATATATTAATATATTTGTTTCCAAACAGATACAAACAACTTATTCGTGTAGAATTAATAATAGATAGAATTCTTAACATATACATATGTACATGTTAAGATGTAACAAATTAAATGTGACATCATGGATATGTCTTAGTTGCATGTTACATGTGAATACATGAACATGGGAGCGCGTGGGCCGAGGTGGGTGATCAATGAGTAGAAAGAAGACTAAACCCAAATAATTTCCAAAAAGCATAATATTTTATTTTATTTTATTTTTGTTGTGAGATGGGGTTGTTAGGTTTCATGTTTTCAAAATCCATGAACTTTCCTTTGGTCTCCTTTTCATTTCACCTATCAACTTTTTCCCAATTAGTCTTCCACATCTTTGCACACCAAACCCTAATTTCCTAATTTCCCGTCGTATTTTCGTGTTCATACCCCCGTCATCTTTTTTTATTTTCGGTTAAAGATACATAATGAATATCAGAACATTTTAGGCCATTAAATTAGTTAATTTTTATCATATTTATATCAAATCTGATTTTATATTAGATAACTAGGAATTTTTTTTGTATTCTTTAGATTTTCATATCAGTTAACAAGGATTCATACGATTTTTTTTTATTATAAGCTATAATTTTAAACCATTTAAATTTGGATAATTCGACAGGTGAAATAGAGACTGCTAGCATCTGCCACTTAAAAAAAACTATAATTTTAAACCTAGAATGATATACATGTTAACCTTCAACAAATTTAAATACTAATTAAAAAAACAATGCATCCAAATTCCAGGCTCAATCTATACGTGGGCCAGTTTTAGATTTCCTAGAAATAAGGATACGGAAAACCCTCAACAACAGCAACACCCACGACATAGGCTGTCAAAGCTTGTTTTTGGCTCTGTTGTTTTCAAGATTAGTGGTAAGAACAATGATTAAAACGAAAGATAGGCTCTTGATCGCATCCCTAATGTATCTCAATGTGATTATAAATGATGATGATGTGTCGGAACAACAAAGGAATGGGTTTGGCGCGGGAGATGTCGCATCACTTCTTCTGTCCACTAACCCCCCGAAGACGGTCAAATCATTTCGTGGACTGTTGCCGTCCGACGCCAATGAATTTCAACACACTCAAATCTATCGTGACGTGACATTATCATTATGCCATCAAACACCAACCACTCTATCTACGAACTTGAAACTATACAATTGAATTTGGAAAAGAAAACAAAAACCCATCTTAGTACATTCACTGCCTTTCATTCAGCATATTAGATGAAGAAATTGATATTTACTTTGCTTGGGTTAAATAAAACATTGTTTTTTAATCCTGAAATTGATGAAATCACTAACAATCCAAACTTACGTGGGAATATGTAATTAAAAACGATGTAGAACTGTTGTAAATTTCGAAAGAGGTAACGTAAAACTGAAATGAATATAAACTAAGAATCCATAAGGTAGATCCCAAATAAAATTAGGATCAAGGTGATGTACTATTCAAACATTATAAAAAACAATCTAATAGCAATTTTTCCCGAATCTAGAGCAGCAAAAATAAAAACCATTAATAAGATTGGCATGAGAGAGAGATTACAATCACAATCCAACCAGATTGCGTGAAGGGTTGAAATTAAACCCTCAAAGTGAATGATCCAAACTAAGGGAGAAAGGAGTAGCAGACTGGGAAGTTGTTGAACAACGAGAGCAACTCGCCATGGTTTTGGATGAAGCAGAAAGCTTAAAACTCACTTCATCTTCTGCTCGGTGAAGAGCACGTGGCGATTCACACGGGGGTCGTACTTCCGGAACTCGAGCTTCTCGAGAAGCTTCTTGCTGCTCTTCCTCTTGACGTAGAAGAATCCCGTCCCCGCGGCCGAGACCAGACGGATGAACATGAACGTCTTCTTCTTCTTGTCCCCCATCTCTCACTCACTACAACCATCATGAGAGAAAGAGATCAAATGGTCACATGGGCCAATTCCTGTTTCGAAGTTGCACAATTTCATACAAAAAAAAGGATATTGCATAAACAGTTAGGGCTTATCTTTGACCAAAAACCGGAAAGGCTCGTCATTCTCGTTTCATCTCAAATTCCACATTTAAGCGTCGATTCAAAGTTTCAACGTTTTGATCCCCACAAAAATTACGAATTTCCATCGTTTTAACAAATCATACAAAACGCATCTCTTGTAACATCGAATTTCAAGCAACGACACCGATTGAACACGCTAACAGATGCAGAACCATGGATCACCAACAATAAAAATCATCAAATCAAACGCAAAGTAAGTGTATTTCGTACACACTAATCCAACTTATCTAGCCCTTAAACCTGCAAGCAAACCGCAGCATCGAATTTTCTTACCAGTTCACCAGAAATTTCCTCGACTTCCACTAGCGGAGAGAACAGAGCTCGCAGGATCCCCGGGAGCGAAGCAAATGAAAACCCTAGAAACCGAGTTGAGCCTGGACGAAGAAAATGGGCTCATAAATGAAGCCCAGAATGTATAATTCATTGATCACACAAGCCCATTAATATAGGCCGATTGATCTTCTATTGGGCCCAATTTGGCCCATTTTGTCTATTGAACTTTCTCTCTCTCCCACATATGCCCCTCTCTCTCTCTCTCTCTTCAGCTGTTCACAGTAGGGAAGACCCAAAAGTCGATCCGAAGAAAAGGTGAGACAAGCTTCGTTGTTTGTTCATTCATTTGTAATCTCTCGTAGTTTAGTGTGAATTTCTGAATTTTTTGTTATTTGTTTGCATAGGATTTGTCTAATCTTTGTATTGTGAATGGATTTGATTTTCTTTCCGATTCATTTAGATTAGGGATTTGGGAATCTGAACAATGGCGAGTGCGGTGGACACGACAGGGAACCCGATCCCAACGTCGGCGGTTCTGACGGCGTCGGCGAAGCACATCGGAATCAGGTGCAGGTCGGAGAACGTCGCATTCCTCAAATGCAAGAAGAGCGACCCTAACCCCGAGAAGTGCCTTGACAAGGGCCGTGACGTCACTCGCTGTGTGCTTGGCCTGTACGTAGCTACCTCATTCTCGTTCCTTTGATTTGCAACTTTCGTTGATCGCATTTGCATAACCATCACTCTGTGTGTGTGTGTGTTGTCTGTTGAAGATAGTGGGTACTGAGATATAGATTTAAGGTCCTGATAGAATGTAAGCGCAAATCTACGGCTCAGAAATCACTTGTCATTGAAGTTTGTGAGATAGGTCTAGGCGTAGAGGAATCTCATACAAAATAATCCAAAAAAGTTGAAAATGATTAGTATTCGCTGGCCATAGTAACACAAAGAGAGTTCGGGTTCTTATCAATCCTATTCCTGTCGGTATGAGACTATGAGGTTCATGTCAAGCAAAAAACTTTCGTATCGTACATTTTTCACGTCACCATTTCCTTAAAATGGATCCCCTAAAACCCCAAGGACTGACCACCTGTTGGCTGTTTTAGTACCGTAAGACTATAGAACTCCCTGATGTTTGTCAAGTATGGATAAACTTCGGCGCGATGTATAGGGTATAGTCAAGTAGGAAATAACTTCTTTTCTTCAGACTGGAACCTCCTCAGGAGTAACCATTTGCTTCACTTGGATGCTTGGTTGAAGATGTATCCCTTGTTTGAAGTTGAAAAGTATCGGTCTTTCGGCATTTGCATTCTATTTGTTGTTTACTTTCTCGTTTTTATCACATGAGATCTATTAGAGCAACCCCATGCAATAGTCTGCATCAACCAAGATAACTTGGATATGGACATTTATACTATACCCGTAGAATTCTCTAGATCTGTACATACTGCCTAACGTCTGTAGAGTTTAGAGCCCAGTGGAGAGCAAGTGACAGATTGGTAGCCTCGAGACTGGCTAACCCTTTACTCCACTAAGTCCATTCGGTAGAAGATTGCTTGTCGGTTATCCAAAGTTCAATAATGGTGACATTATGCATTTGAACGAAATACCTTCCATATGGAAGGAAGTTCTTATTTCTTAATCAAATGGATTGGGTCGCAGGTTGAAAGATATTCACCAGAAGTGCACAAAAGAGATGGATGCGTACGCGGGTTGCATGTATTACTACACCAACGAGTTTGACTTGTGTCGGAATGAGCAGCAAGCTTTCGAGAAATCCTGCCCTCTTGAATGATACAAGGCAAGTTGGGATTCGTCTCTCTCTTCACTCCCAAAATCGTCCTCTCTATAATAAGCAGAGTGTTCATTTTTGAATGAGCGATACTCTTTTCTAATGCCACCTTTCCATCTCTGTTCTCTTCATTTCCTTCTTCCAAATTTGTCAGAAACCCAGAATCTTTTTTTTTTATATGAAGCGAATTTAATCTTAGCAGGACTCTATAGATCTACCAATCTATGTTGAGGAAGTAAAATACTCCGTATATATGTATACATATATGGCAGTTGCGTATTATACAAATCGGAACTAATGAAGGCAAACTTTTACAAAAACAAAATCAAAACTAATTCAGCAGAAAGAAAAACACGTGAAGTTGTCTTCAGGAAGATAATTCAAACAGTGAATTCGGGAAACACAAAAGCAAGAACCGAAAAAGAAAAGACAGAGAAGTAACAATCCATGGCACAGAGCAGAACGCATCTTAGCAGGAACCCCAAAAACTCAATACTTTGTCCACACCTAAGCGTTTCCAAGACCTTTGGTCCGAACCATGCTTTCACAAGCCAAAGCCAAAGAGCATTCACAAATCCATCCATCTCCGACAACAGATCTACCGAGGACTGCACCAAAACAGAGCACAATAATACACCAGTCAAACTGTGCGACGACATTTAGGATGGGTTTCTACCCGATTACCCGAAAACTTTTTTACCTGATGGATTGAGAGTGGGACCTCGACGGACTGCGTGTCCTGATTGGAGTAAGGTCCCTCTCCTCTCGGGGGCTGCGTTTGTTTCGCTGCGGGCTTCGGGTCATGTGGTTTGATCCATTGTCCCTAGGCGAACGGGAACGTGACATTGATCTCGACCTTCGTGGAGAGGGTGAAGAGTCGGCTCTTACTTCCCTATGCCTGCGCAAACGAAAAAAAACAAACATAATAAGAAATCCACATACTGAAACCATACCCGTATACAATGAATCAAAGTCCAACACAAGCTTTTAGAAATATGTAAGAAAGTAAATTAGTAGGCTTTTGATATTCACAAAACAAGAACCAGGAAGAGAAAAATAAAACAAAATAGAGGTGAGAATAAAGCATTCACACCCATCCACTTCTAACTGATCAAAAACTGTGAATTTTTACCTTCCACCCTTTTCATGATTCCGGAAAATTACATTGACAACTCGTAATTCGTATCCTGACACTGATTTATGGTCTTACAATGCCGTACCGGTTGATCAGCACCATAAAGCTTCAAAGCACTCTTTTCTCCAACTTTATGGAACACAACCCTATCTTTCTTTACACTCTTTGCAAAGTTCTCTACTCTGTAAAAAACTTTGAATGGCTCCGTTTCTCTGAAGATCATTCTTTCTTTGGCCAACTATAAGCTTTTCATTCACTATTTGACAGGGTGACTGGATTGTATAGGCAAAAAACAAATGTCAAACTCATGGAGCTACTTATACAAGGATTGCACCCATGACGTTCCCCACAAAGATTAGATGATTTGTTCTTTATGAATAGAAACAAGCGTTCACAAAATGAAAAATCATTCCAACAAACCAAAGCTGGCGGCTGGCCCACTTGATTAAAAGCCAGATACAGGATTTGAACCAAAAACGATATTTTTCTCAAATTTTGCTAACTCGGACGATATTTTTCTCAAAACAATACCAGCAGACAATATAAATCATGAGGACCAATCCTATTTAAATTTAGAGTACCAAGTGAATTGTAAATGAATAACATCAAGAAAGTGACAAGCTTTGGATAGCTTTTGGTAAGTTAATGATCCCATATTCTGTGGCATTAGTAATATGAGTAAACAAAGAGAAAACCTGACCATATTTTGGAAAAAGAGAGCATGCAAAACAAAGCTGCATAGAAGTAAAGATTCGAACCTCGGGTCTCGCCTTGCAGGAGAAGGCGAGCTTGAGTGAGCTGTGCAAGAAGAAAAGACTGAGTGAGAGAACTTTACCAAGTACACAGTAAGCACCACTATGATCATAAACTGTAGTTGTCTTCACAGGCATTAAATAACACATAAAAGGCCAAAATGCCACTGACAGCGATGTCTACGCCTCGGTGATCTGAACGAAGTCCTGTTATAGCCTCCAGATCGAGAACTACATTAAACCAAAAAGGAGTCAGAAATAAAGACAGGAATTAATTGCATCACGCTACGTTAACAAGAACAATCGGATAAGAAAATAATGGAGTCGTCACCTCGTACGGTTACTTGTGCGCATTTCTTGAGGAGTTTTTCGATTTTCCTCAGCGAAAACGATACTTATCTCGCGCCCACCAATAACTTTGTGGTCCATTCGTTGTTTTGCCTCGGCTGCATCTTCAGGATACCGAAACTTCACAAATCCAAAGCCTCTTGGCTCCCTACCCCACAGAAAAATTATACAATTTGAAATTTTGAATAAGAGGCTTCTACACTAAATCAATATCAAAAGCTTCAACTCGAAACTAGCTCCATCTCACGCCTCAGGGTCGTGAGCACGAAACTCTGTAATAACATTTCTCAGAATCCACACAAGTCAGACACGACGCAGAACACATAAAATCTCTAGCATCTCCAGTTGACACCAAGAGGAATTGGAAACTGTTGACATTTGACATCTACCCAAAGGCCACGAAGTTCGACACTTACCCAGTGTAATAATTCTTTGGGAGATATATATCCTTCAGAGGACCAAACCTTTCGAAAGGTTTCCTGAGATCATTCGGCCTGCCAACAAAAAGAGTAAATGTTGCTAAAACGGAAAGAAAAAAAAAAAAGCACAAGCCGCAGGAAAAACTCTTCGTAGATAAATTAAATATGTCGATCAGCCGCCTAAGCGTATGATACACACACACCCCATAGAGAGAGAGAGAGAGAGAGAGAGAGAGAGACCTGGCGTCAAGAGGGAGATTACGGATGAGCAAACCGGAGGGATCGGATGAATCGTGGTCGCCAGAAGACCGGCGTCCGCGATGGCGATCCTCATCGTAGCGCTCCCGCTCGCGCGGTGGCGAACGGCTTCGGCGACGGGGGCTGTAACTCCGGCTCCGGCTTCTGGCTCTCGCCATCGAAATCTAACAGGTTGTCGTGTCTTATTCTTTACAATTGAATCGAATGCCGATAAACCCTAGGATTTTGCTCAAATCGAATCGCTAAACCCTAGCCCTATCGCAAATTGCAGGAGAGGATAAATGTGCGTACGGAGAATTTTGGAGGGAGATGTAGTAAACCGACAATTATCGATGGTTTTAAATGAGCACGTGCTGGTTCTATTGGGCCCTTAATGGGTTTGACGGCCCATTTATATTCATCTTTTACATGATTTTTAGTTTTTGAAAATGAAATATTTTTTTTTGTTTTTCCCTTAATTAAATGATAAATCGATCGAGATTTCATTGGGTGCCGAGAATTTTCAGTGCTGAATTTTATTCTCTAATGATATAAATCTCTTGACCCTTTAATGATTTATGTAGGTTGAGAATAGTTTTTTTTTATAATTTAAGATTTTACCAAACCTTCGGCATAACTATATTTTTCAAGTCATACAAAAAAAAAGTATATTTTTCAAAGAATCTGAAAAGGTTAGATAAATAATCTCTTATAATAGTTTTTTTATGATTCAAAAAATTACCATATTTTCGTCACAAATACGTTTTTTTTATAAAATCAGGGATTTGAGAATGGTTATGCCAGCGCAAGAAACTCTTACAAAAGAATATATATATATATATAAAAACGGACAATGTAATTTTCAATTAAATAAAAATTTTCAACCTAATTTTTTATATAAAATTCTGAACTTACATTTAACAATAAAGAGAAAGAGTATGTATTAAGCTTCTGAAAACTAAAAAAACATATATTATATGAAGTATCATTGTTTTGTCGTACATATTTGAAAATAAAATGTGAAAAAATTGCTAAAACTATTTTTATTTTGAAACCTAGAGATTTCTTCTTCTTCTTCTTCGTTACCCCTTTTTTTTTGTTGATGTGAATGCACTATTTTCTGATATCATTGAGAGTTTTTTTTTTTATCTCTAATTACTATAATATCCATATTTAACAAATGGTTACGACACTCATAAATATTCATTTCAATATTCACGTATAAGTGGCGGCTGCCACTTGACCACAAGCAAATTGTCATCGAGATTAGTCGGTTTAGGAATACATTCGAGATTAAATAAATAAATAGAATAAAAAAAAAATTGATGGGAAAAAGACAAAAGAGGGTGAGATTTGGAGGAGGGAGAGGATGCATTGCATGGATCTGTCATCTGTCTGTATCTGTGTAGGCTATGACTCAGATTTTGATAATACGACCAAACGGCGTTAGGGTTTCAAAATTGTTATATCGTATTAATTTAATGCTTTCATTTGTTTTCTTTAATAATACAAAACAACATGGTTTGGCTGCCCATAGCGAGTTGTATCAAAAGACAATACCAAAATATCTCAATTTTACCATACGTCCCATCCTTATTACAGGGAGACAAACATCTAATTATATATATATACGTGTATGTATGTATATATTAGAGATTGGAAAAAAAAATACTAAAATTGGTGGTAAAACATTTGCTTGGAATGAATGATGCGCTTATTAACACAATCCCAAAAAACAAAATCTATAATTTTTTCGTACAATCATTTCCGATTTTGCGGGCAAGTGGGTTTTCCACTTGCCTTTGATAATATATATTATATTTGACATGGGTAAAGGATCAAGACAAATTAGACCACCACGAGTATATAAATATATAGAGAGAGAGGAGTAAAATAAATATATAAATCATTCGCCGGATCTTCTGTAACCTGATCATTATATTGAGATGAAAATGCATCTTGAACCATCTCAATATATGAATTTGGCTGATCATAGACATCAGTATTTCTCACAGATATATTCTCATCAGAAATTTGAAACGTCTCATCATGATAAACCCAGACGTAATAGTTAGAGACAAAACCTTTTTTCCATAGATGTCTCATCACAACTTCTGGAACTTATTCTTTCTCGTTTTTACATCTTCGGCACAGACAATATATCTTTCCTCTCTGAAGAAAAATATGTTGATTTGTTGCAAACTCCAAAAAATTAGTCAATCTTTCTTCGTAATGCGTAGATACATTACCCGTAGAAGGATTTACTCTTTTCGTACATCCATTTTCTTGAGTAATAAATATTGTTATTACTCGACGCCATTTTTTGAGTTTTTTCTTCGGGTGCAAAAGTGAAGGAGGGTGTGGTGTGGTATAAAGAAAATAGAGTGACGCAAATTCGTCACTAAAATAAAAAATAGTGACGCAATTGCGTCACCAACAAAAGAAAATGGTGACGCAATTTCGTCACTAAGAATGACGCATTTTCGTCACCACAATATTAGTGACGAAATTGCGTCAGCAAAAATGAATGACGCAATAGCGTCACCAAATAGTGATGCAAGGGTGACGCACGGGTGACGAAATTTCCACGCGTTATTTGGCGACACAGTTTTGCGTCATAACTGCATCACCAAATGGTGATGCTTTTTTTGCGTCACCATTTGCGTCACAAAAACGTCACTACTGCGTCACCATTTGCGTCACAAAAACGCCACTACTGCGTCACCTTTTCGTGTTTTATTGTAGTGAAAGTGGTAAAAATTTAAGTTGATAAAAAAAGATATATACGTAACAATAAAGATCTAAATCTAACTGTAAACTAATGCGTAATAACATAACGAGTATTTAAATTTAAATTTTATATTATAAATTTGATTGGATGATTATATATATACATATATAGGTTAAAAGGGATGATGATAATAATCTGAATATATATATTAAAACAGGAGCAGCCGTGGCAATGACAGGACAGCTTCGTCCCACATGCAAAACACAGAACAAAGATTTTTTTTTGTAAAATATTGTTTTTGTCATTACCAATCTCAATCATTGCAAGATCTTTGCAACGTTAGGACTCTCAAAGTTTGGAAATTTCGTATTCAAGGACAGTTTTCATAAATATCTTCATAAATGTGTACACTTCATCGTGCACCTATAAATACCCCCCGAAATCTCCACAACTCATCGAACCCACCAACCAAAAAACACAAAAAGCTCGACCTTTCTCTATATTCTCGATCTGCAAGAGAGAGAGAGAGAGGGAATGGCGATTCAGGAATATAGAGATGCGGAGAGGGGTGAGATAGCAAATGGGGCTGAGGATTTGGAGAAGCCATTGATGATGGCGGCGAAGAAAGTGGTGGAAGACGATGAGAGTAGCGTTGAGATTGAGGAAGAACAACGAAATGGGTCTGTGTCGATGGTCCTGTTGAGCACTTTTGTTGCTGTTTGTGGATCCTTTGAGTTCGGATCTTGCGTAAGTGACTCTCCCTCTCAATCAGAGGTTTCCGAAAATGGAAACACCGATCGTATTCTCCAACTAAAATTCTCATTTCATCGACTCTTTTGGAAGGTTGGATACTCTGCGCCGACTCAGTCTGCCATTAGGCAAGATCTCCATCTCTCCCTCGCAGAGGTTTGTGTCTCCAATTTCTACATATGCCTCTGTCTGAATCAGAATCTCTTGTTTTAATTTGTCCAACTTATTGTGTGTGTGTGTGTATATATAGATTTGGGCATATGATACCAAACATATTGTCTTCAATATGCATGCAGTTCTCCATGTTTGGCTCCGTACTGACAATTGGCGCCATGCTTGGTGCTGTTACAAGTGGGAGGATCTCTGATTTTTCAGGCCGAAAAGGGGTAATTCTGCGCGATTTTGAAACGGGGTTTTAACCCTAATAACCCACTTGGGTCGCAGCAATTTCAGGGTACACCACCGAAAAAAAAAAAAATTGCGACCTTATTACGACTAATATATAACTAATATACAACTAAAATAAGAGTAGTTTTGCGTCGTATATATGTTGTATATTAGTTATATATTAGTCGTAATAAGGTCGCAAATTTTATTTTTTTTTCGGTGGTGTACACTGAAATTGCTGCGACCCAAGTGGGTTATTTGAGTAATATTCCCTTTTGAAACCAAGCGTCCAAAATGGGATTAAATTTCGTACCAACTTTAATTCTTAAAACCATAATAATATGGAGTTATATATACATAGAACTAAAAAGCTCGTATCTATCTTTGTCGGAACCAGGCCATGAGAACGTCTGCATGCTTCTGCATCACAGGGTGGCTTGCTGTATTCTTCTCCAAGGTATATAATTAATCACACAGAGATTATTACATATATATATATATATATAATACTTGTAAGATATGTGTATATATATATATATACATACATACACGTAATTGCTGACTATTGGTCAAAGATAGGTTGATATGTACAAGTACTCCACCAGGTTATCTGTAATTGTGGTTTTATGGTAAAAAATAATCACCATAGAGAAACTTTAATTTTACTATAAAATTGGTCAAACTGTAGAATATAATTACAACTATGCCATTGCATGGTGCATGCAGGAGGCTATGTTACTTGACATTGGAAGGTTCTTCACCGGATATGGTATTGGGGTTTTCTCGTACGCGGTAATTTACCTTAAAACTAAACCTACCTTTTTTTTTCATTCTTTTAAAAATCAATTTTTTTTTTATTGTTCCATTAGATCTAACAGTGATTTATTTTTTTTTTCTCACTTTTTTGCCATTCTTTTTGTCATGTGAAAGCTCTTTGATATTTTCAACCATTGTGAATAAACATATAAACAGGTCCCCGTCTACATTGCCGAGATCTCCCCAAAGAACCTCAGAGGAGGACTCACAACACTCAACCAGCTCATGATCGTGATCGGCTCGTCGGTTTCTTTCGTGATCGGAGCTCTCATAACGTGGAAAACCCTCGCCCTCACCGGTGATAATTTCAATCCAATCGAATCTGCAATTCTGTTTTCTGTTAGTGTTTCTTTCAAGATTCATGTAAGAAGAACGAGTTCTTGTAACTGAGTTTGGTTTTTTTTGGGGGGGTTTGGTCTGAAGGTCTTGTTCCATGCCTGGTTCTTCTCTTTGGCCTCTGTTTCGTCCCCGAGTCCCCCAGATGGCTAGTATGATTCTCTGTTACCTTACTTGACTCGCAAGTTACGTGTTTCGCCGCATCAGCTTAACCTTTTCAGTGCTCTGTTTTTTTCAGGCGAAGGTCGGCCGGGAGAAAGAGTTCCATATCGCGTTGCAGAAGCTTCGTGGGAGAGAAGCGGATATAACCCGCGAAGCAGCTGAGATCCAAGTGTCGATCGAAGCCCTCGAGATTCTTCCCAAAGCAAGAATCCGAGATCTAGCCTCGAAGAAATACGTTCGTCCTGTCATCGTAAGTCACTCGGATGCCTCGGATTTTCGTATCATGACTACGCATTTCCAGATTCTTCAGAGATTAAAACATGTTTTACACACATGTGGTGGTTGTTTTTTTTTCTCAGATTGGAGTGGCGCTGATGGTGTTCCAGCAGTTCGTGGGCATTAACGGGATTGGATTCTACGCTAGCGAAACATTTGTGCAAGCGGGTACCTAAAAATCTAAATCTTTTTGTTGTCTCCGATCAGAACCGAACAACGTCGTCTCCATACTTCATCTGCTTTCAATTTGCAGGTCTTTCTTCTGGTAAACTTGGAACCATCGCTATAGCTTGTGTTCAGGTGCTTAACATTGACCCTTTTCACTGAAATGTTCCGGGGAGAACGGTTATTTTCGTTACATTTTAACCGATTGAATCTAAAAACCGGTTGCTGACAGATCCCAATCACCGTTCTTGGAACAATATTGATCGATAAGTCGGGAAGACGTCCCCTTATAATGGTAAGTTCTTTAGCTCTCTCATCATTTCAGAGAAATGCCTGCGCTTTCTCTTGAAATTCAGATCGAAACCAATCTTATATTATTTACACCGCAGATTTCAGCTGCTGGTTTATTCGCAGGCTGCGTCCTGACGGGCACATCTTTCTACCTCAAGGTCTGTAGTAATGGAGTCATCACACCAGTCTCTTCGAACTTTAACGTTGAATTGTGATGTTAGTTTTGTGATCTGTTTGGATTCAGGGACAAGGCCTGTTGCTTGAATGGGTGCCAGTCTTGGCTGTAGGTGGTGTATTGGTGAGTAAACCGAGTTTATGTTAATACGGAACGAACTCAAGAACTGATTCCTCTACGAGGTTTTAACGATTAGAACGGGGCCGATTTCTTCTGTTCAGATCTACATAGCCGCGTTCTCCATCGGGATGGGACCTGTTCCTTGGGTGATAATGTCAGAGGTGAGTAGAATAGGGTTTACTTGTTCCGGAAGCGATAAAGGATCGTGCTTGACATTGATCGATATGGCAGATATTTCCGATCAATGTGAAGGGGATAGCAGGAAGCTTGGTGGTACTGGTGAACTGGTCTGGTGCTTGGGCTGTTTCCTACACTTTCAACTTCCTCATGAGTTGGAGCTCTCCATGTAATGAAAACCCTAAACCCTTCAAAGCTCAAAGCTCAAACCCTAAATCCAAAGTACAAAGAATATCTATTACCATTTCTCTGAGTTCAAAGCTCTGTTTTTTTTTTTTGTGAAGGTACATTCTACATGTACTCCGCTTTCGCGTTGATGACAATTCTCTTCGTGGGGAAGATGGTGCCTGAGACAAAAGGAAAGACGCTCGAAGAGATCCAAGCTTGCCTTCGCAGAGAAACAGTGGCATAAACCAAGATCCGATCTATTGTCCTGAGGGAATCAGAAACCAAATTCTCTTTCTGTCTTTGGCCGGAGAATCGATTAATGGCTCGATTAATCGCCGGAGAAATCGGAAAACCGTTGGAAGTCGTGAAGATTCCGAAGGCGTCGGCGTGTTTGGAGCTTTTTGTCTGAAATGATTTATTGTAGTTTAGTTTTGTTTCAGTGGTCCCTTTGTTCTTTTTGTTAGGTTTCACAGAGGAATAAAACATCAACAGCTGGCTTCTTCTTCTTCTTGTCCGAAATTACGAAATTGACCCTGAGATTTGGGATTGCGTGATGATGACGTGGGTGGTCGGATTTTTTTTTTTTTTTTTAATTTAAATTTTCCTGTTCCGCTGCGTTTCTTCTCGCGCAATCCGGTTTCTGGAAGAGGACGGAGAGTGTGAAGAGTAACGATGGCGTCTTCTTCTTCGTCTTCGTCGTCGCCGTCAACGGCGAGAATCTGGTTCCGGATGGTGGTTTCGATCGCGTTAATGGCGGTTTTGTTCTACGTCGGCCGTCCTCTTTACTGGAAGATCTCCGCCACTGTCCACGACATCCCCCAGAACAAGCAGTCCGTTAGAGAAGGCACTCATTCTCTCTCTCTCTCCCACCATGGATCTTCCTTCTTCGGAATGTGAACCACGTACGTGATCGGTGGTGTTTGGTTACAGGTATATCGCAGGTCGAGTACGAGGCGCAGAAATCGGCCGGATGTTATGACGGCGAGTCGGATTCAGGCCTCCGTGATGATCGGACCAAGAACTCGTCCGCCGCACCACCGCCGCCCGGAGGCTTCTCATCGCCGGAGCTCAGTAAGAAACCTTCACAAAAATGGTTGGCCAAGTGTTTAAACACAACTGCTTTTATAGTTTCTATTACAGACCATGCCAAAACGGTCAACCTACAAATCTTGGAATCAACTTTCTTATTTTAGTATTTTAAATCACAATATATATATATATATATATATATATATATATATATAAACATAACGTCCGTATTAGATACTGTTCAGAGATTTTCTTTATCTGTGATTAATAAAAAAACTAAGTCAAAAACCATTTTGGTCAACTGAATGTTACTCCCCGGCGATTCTACTGGAAGATCCCCGCCACTGTCCACGACATCCCCCAGAACAAGCAGTCCGTTAGAGAAGGCACTCATTCTCTCTCTCTCTCCCACCATGGATCTTCCTTCTTCGGAATGTGAACCACGTACGTGATCGGTGGTGTTTGGTTACAGGTATATCGCAGGTCGAGTACGAGGCGCAGAAATCGGCCGGATGTTATGACGGCGAGTCGGATTCAGGCCTCCGTGATGATCGGACCAAGAACTCGTCCGCCGCACCACCGCCGCCCGGAGGCTTCTCATCGCCGGAGCTCAGTAAGAAACCTTCACAAAAATGGTTGGCCAAGTGTTTAAACACAACTGCTTTTATAGTTTCTATTACAGACCATGCCAAAACGGTCAACCTACAAATCTTGGAATCAACTTTCTTATTTTAGTATTTTAAATCACAATATATATATATATATATATATATATATATATATATAAACATAACGTCCGTATTAGATACTGTTCAGAGATTTTCTTTATCTGTGATTAATAAAAAAACTAAGTCAAAAACCATTTTGGTCAACTGAAATCGGATAACTCCAAGAATTTCCTAGAGAAGGCAGAGATTTGGGTCAATTTGTGAATGGTCAAATCGGACATGAACATCACAAAACATGAAAATAATCCAAAGAGACCAAAAATTCCCATTTAGATAAAAAAAAAAAATCCTTGAAGGGTTTTTAATTTGTGACATAAAATCATGTTCATTGAACCAAAAAAAAAAAATTTGGGATGGTTCGTTAGAGTGGTAACGGTTCTCGTGTTCGTATTAATTAGGACCGTACCTCACTGGTTGTGCTCTGTCAGGTCCGAACCATCGCATCCTGCTGGATACGGATCTCGACACGGACGATATCTTGGCCCTCTTGTACCTCTTGAAGCTCAACAGATCGGAATTCAATCTCGATGTGATCATTCTCTACTGTTTCGTCGTCATGGCTTGCTCAAAGATTATGCGAAGTCTTGATTATATGCTGTCGTTTCAGGGGATTACGATCAATGCGAATGCATGGACCGACGCAGGGCATGCAGTGAATCAAGTGTACGACGTTCTGTACATGATGGGTCGGGACGATATCGACGTCGGAGTCGGAGGTGAAGGCGGCATTCTCGACGACGGTACTGTTCGTCCTGACGTCGGTGGTTACCTTCCCATCATCGATCAGGTTTTTTCCACCTCTGTTTCCAGAGATATATATAAAAATGGCAGATACCCGATTAGGGTTTTTTTTAATGTTTAAAAACTTTTGCAGGGGATGACAACGACAGGAGGTTGCAGGTTCAGACAGGCCATTCCCAAAGGTCTTGGAGGACGTCTCGACACCGACACCAACTTCGGTTTGCGAAAACGGTTTCTTCCGCAGGTCTAGCCCTAAACCTAAACCCTGAATCTATTCCGTCATTTCTCTTTTGCCTTCTCACTTGTGTTTTCTAATTCTTGTGAAACAGGGAAGTAGAAGATACACACCAATTCATCAGCCAACTGCTCAACAGCTGCTGATCGAAAAAGTCTCGAAAGGTCCGGTATCGATTCTGATGATCGGAGCTCACACGAATATCGCGCTGTTCATGTTGTCGAATCCTAGTCTGAAGCGAAACATCAAACACATATACGTGATGGGAGGCAGTGTACGATGTACTAGTAGTTACTGTCCCAAGAACTCGAGTTCTTGCGAGCGCAGAGGTTGCGGGAATTTGTTCACTGGCGGCTCCTCCAATCCCTACGCCGAGTTCAATATGTTTGCAGATCCTTTCGCTGCGTATCAGGTATAGTGTGTTCCCAAACCGTGGGAACTACTGGTTTGGTTTTGTCTGAACATTAACCTAACTGTTGTTAATGTACGTTCATACAGGTGTTTCGTTCGGGTGTTCCAATAACTCTTGTTCCGTTGGATGCAACGAACACAGTGCCAGTAACGGAGAAGTTGTTCGAGGCATTCGAGATGAACCAGAGCACTTACGAAGCTCAATACGCTTTCTTGTCCCTCGAAACTTCCGTTGGACCATATTTATCAGCAATGGTAACTTCCAATAACTGATTTTTCAAGATATATCCCGGTAGGGGTGAGTAAAAAACAACAAGTGAAAATCGGGTATTTGCGGGTGCCGATACCCGATTTTTGAAAACTTTGGATATACTATTTTTTTCGGATATATCCGACTCCTGATCCATCCTAGACGAAACACTACTGCGTTTTTGACAGAGCTACTTCATGTGGGACTCATTCACGGCCGGTGTAGCCGTCTCATTAATGCGTAATTCAGGCAAGAATGACGGTGAAAACGATTTTGCCGAGATGGAGTACATGAACATAACCATCGTAACTTCCAACAAACCTTTTGGAATATCCGACGGCTCGAATCCCTTCTTCGACAACTGGAGATTTCCAAAGTTCAACCTTACCCGAGGCGGAGTTCACAGCGGCCATGTTCAGACAGGTCTCCACGATCCGTTCTGCATTTCAAAGGATTCGGAAGGGAAATGTCAGGTCGGATTTCGTTACTGTAAGAAACAGATTTTCTGTTTTTCATGCCGAAATAAAATCATCTGTAACTGGAAAGCGGTGAAAACAGGACGGTTACACGAGAGAGACTTCAGGGTCGGATTCTGTAAGTGTTCTTGTTGCCACGAAAGCGAAACCGAACAAAGACAGCACAAGTGAACTCGACAGAGAGTTTTATGTCAGCTTCTTGGAAGTAAGTGTACAATTGTACACATATATATATAAAGCACGCATATATATATATGTGTATGTGTATATGTACATGTATATGAACAGTTCGAGTGTGTTCTTGTCTGTGTCAACAGGTTCTGAACAGGCCTGAGCAAACAGCTAGGTTTAACTTCTCAACCCAGTTTCCATATTACAGAGAAGAATATTACATACCAGATTTCAGCAAAAGACAGAAGGGAAAGCCAGTTGTGTTGGATATGGACATGAGCCCTGGAGATTTCCTCTCTCTCTTCTTCCTCCTGAAGGTTCCTGTTGAAATCTTCGACTTGAAGGTAAGTTCTTCAACGGAAAGGCGAACACTTTTCGCCAAATTCCAGAACTTTCTACCAGATCAATCTGGGTCTGAAAAACTTTGATTATGATTCGTCTCCAGGCGATAATGGTGAGTCCGACGGGATGGGCAAATGCGGCGACGGTCGACGTCGTGTACGACGTGCTTCACATGATGGGTCGCGATGACATTCCGGTGGGTCTCGGCGATGTGTTCGCCGTCAACCAATCGGACCCAAATTTTCCGACGGCCGGAGACTGCAAGTACGAGAAAGCTGTTCCTCAAGGCTACGGCGGATTTCTCGACTCCGACACTCTCTACGGCCTTGCCCGTGACCTCCCCAGAAGCCCTCGACGGTATTTTGATACTTGATTAACAGATTTCAACATTGATATGTAAAAATTTTCCGACTTTATTAAAACCCACCGCAAAAAAAAAAAAAAAAAAAAACAAACCCCGTCTTTTTAGATACACAGCAGAAAACAGAGCGCCAAGGAACAAGGACCGGCCTGATCTCCGACAACCTCTGGCACTTGAAGTGTGGGAAAATGTGGTGAAGTCTTTGGATAAAGGATCGAAGATCACAGTTCTTACAAATGGACCGTTAACTACTTTAGCCAAAATCATCTCATCTGAGAAAAATTCAACTTCTGTAATCAAGGTAAGGCTTATTACGGTTATCCGACCACATCAAGATCCGAGTTTTTGGATATGTAATAAAAGGACATTTGTTTCGCAGGAGGTTTGCATCGTCGGAGGACATATAAACCATAATGAGACAGACGAAGGAAACGTCTTCACGATCCCTTCGAACAAATACTCCGAATTCAACATGTTTCTTGATCCTTTGGCCGCAAAGATCGTTCTCGAATCCGACCTGAACATAACGCTCATTCCACTAGCGACGCAAAGACGGTTGAACTCGCTCGAAACGATGCTTAATGGATTCCGATTTGCGAGGAAAACACCGGAGGCTTTGTTTGTACAGAGCTTGCTGACGAGGTTTCATGAACTTCATCAGAATCACCACAGATACCAACATATGGTAAAGCCTCTTTGATCCTATATAGGACTGGACGATGGATACTAGAATCCACGGTATCTATGAGTACCAGAATCCCGTTCCAAGAACGTTTGTTGCTTATTGCAGGACATGTTCTTGGGGGAGATCCTGGGAGCAGTGTTCTTAGGAGCTGATGACACAGCATTAAAGCGACAAGTACAAGCCGAGAATGTCAAGGTCATTGTCCAAGGCAATGAGTCGACAGATGGTCGGATTCTGATCGACAGAGTTCATGGAAAACGGGTAAACGTGCTGGAAAAAGTAGATACGGAAGCGTACTATGAGATTTTTGCTTCTCGACTCAGCGACGAGAAACAATCAGCAGTCATAGGAAGCTTCGACGAACAGAAGAAGAGATGGAACACACCACCACCGCGTCTAAGCTTAGATGCCTCAAAGATTTGGACATCTTGACAGCGTTTCTCTTCTGACAGCAACATGAACTACGTTTCTATGTTTGGTTCTTCTGAAAGTTCTCCACTCTACTAGGTGGTTCTCTCTAGCCAGGAAATCGGAACCTATGTATAGTTTGCAAATAGGAAACGAAGACTAACCTGGGAGTTTATAAACACTTTCGTTCCAAATCTCCTGAGAAATCGATAAATCTTGACTGAAGTGAAGGACATAAAACATTAGACACGAGTGAGAAAAAAAATCCTCAGGCGGTGATGATCATAAACGATGAAAGTTCTCCAGACAAAACATGGAAATGACACAGAAGAACTCTAACAAGCCTTGCAGCTATGTCTACATGACCCAGGAAGTTCAGCAGTTCCGACCATATACTCAGGGTTCTTAGTGCACTCACCTAGCATCGCCCATCTCTCGCAGCTCTCGTTCAGATCCGTGCAATTCCCTCCATGGGACACGATCTTATCGAACGAATCCACATGGATCCACTTGGTCGCTGACCATTTCTCACCTTCTATCACGGGGCAGCCTCCATGGAGGCTCATGGGGTCTGGAATTGCGTCCGGATGGAGGTTGAAGAACAACAATGCGTCGCCCTTCTTTGGTTTCACTGAAAATATTTGACGGGAGTTTTCTTGTTTAGCTGATTATGATTTCATAACTTTCTCTAGGAAAAGGGAGCTATGATTCTTTATGTTACTCACCGGCGATTCCTTTCTTTGCACAATCTGAAAGGTCCTCTTTGTTGTGATCAGAAAGCTTGCGCCGAAGAGGTTCCTGCTCGGTAAGGTCCATAGAAAGTCCAATCATTGCATGAGAGATGGACCGAACACCTCTGATTTATGTATAGAACATAATAGAGTACCAAAAGAGGATATAGAAAGGAAAACGTCAAATTCAGTGAAATCTGTATACAGACCTCTGCTTCGGGGAAAACAGTTTCTCCACCTTTCGTGACATTGGATAGATACATGAGAACCGTAGCTATGCGGTGTCCACCACGGGCGATGTTGACTTTGTCGTGAAAGTAGTCAAAATGAGCATCGTATTTTTGGCCGTGCTCATATCTCAGTACCTGAATGTCTTCTCCATTTTCTGTCACAGAAAAAGGAGAGCACTTTCATAATTATCTACCGATAATTTAGAGAATCCAAGGTGTCGTGAACAGGCACAGAGATTTCCTGAAATGGAATGCTCCATTCTCTTCGTTTCCATGTCTATTGTATTTGAAAATCATATTTTCCATTCTAGATAAACAGAGAGGAAATGGAAAAAGGAATTCAGCCCGACTGAGAATGTATTATTGTTTTACCTTTTGGGAGAAATGTCCATGTAGAGATCTTGTCCTCTATACCAGAAACAATAGGATCCTGCAAATCACCAATGAAGGCTTCAAACGATCCAGTAGCGTACTACCATTATCACTACTATGACGCAGTTGTGACAGATCTGAATCATTCGCTCCCTAACTTAGGGTTACTAAGTAATGCAACAAAGTACGAAACATTCATACATGATCGATTTACCAAGATCTAACATTTACAGACAGGTACTATGACTGCCATAGTATTGAAAACCTTTACGAAGCTCTAAGCAACAATGATGGATCAAATACAATCTCGGGGTTGTTCCGGAAAGATCTGTCCTTGGAAGGATTGCTGTCGAGGAATTCTAAATTTATCAAACCCAGTTCATATAATCAAGATCCATATTCGCAAGGACAACCATCAAGGTTGGTTTAAAGCCATTTGTATCTAACACTAATGTTCCTTTCAGAATTCAAAGAGAAATCTAGTTTATCTGTGAACAGTTCTAAATTTGTCAACAAAGTAAGAGAAGAAAATCCACACCTTTGCTTTAGAGATGAACGTGCCGGAGCTTGTCCGAACCTCACTAAGCTTGCTCTCTCCGCTGTTGTTGTCCGCAACCGCAGATCTCTTCAGCTCCGATTTCGCCTTTTGAACAATCCCAACGAAACATCGAAGTCAGCATATAGTAATTAAGCGAAAAACTTTCCCAGTTTAGCTCAAAACCAATGTATGATAGGACAAACTTCGAACTCACAAGAGAGATCAGATGATCGCATTCCAGGTCCGTAAGGAAACCTTCGTACACAAACGCCCTGTAAAAAGACAACATCGAATTTCTTCCGATTATTCGACCAAAACACGAAATGTCCGACATCGTAACAAGTTTTTCGCCTTTTTAAACAGTGATCGAGGAGGAGGAAGAACAAACCTAGGTTTCCACGAAACTTGTTTGACTTTGGAAGGATTGATGATGGCGCTCGGAGAGCTGATCAGAGAAGTTGAAGATTGAAGCAGGAGGAAGATGACGACAGACAGCAACAATTCGCGGCGCGACATCGTCGTCGCTTCGGATCGCAGATGCCGAGAGTCGGTAGAACGAGAGCGAGAGCGCGAGAGACAGAGAGAGAGAGGGCGACAACATGCGCGCACGTCGATGTGCGCTTTCTTCTTCATCTAAGACTAATGAATATAAAAATATAAAATAGTTCTTTTTTTTTTGTAAAAATATAAAATAGTTTATAATATACATATAATTTAGTTGTAACGATTAATCATGTAAGAAGTAATACGAATTATGTTATTCCTTTTTTTTTGATCCAGTGTTTTTTTTTTAACAAAAGCAAAACACCTCTTACACTGTGATAATCCGAAATACAAGACGTATAACAACAATAGTTCAAAACAAAACAAAAAAAGGAAAAAAAAGAGAGCAAAACATCCTCAATAAAACAGAAAATACACGAAGGCAACCATACAACACTCTTTGGACAACAATGAATGAACCCTTCAAAGTTTCCATCTTTTCCCCTGTTCTGCGCTCTGCATGTGGAACACTTACGTATACATATGTACGTATACGGTATGCGTACGTGCGTATACGTTGTCGGAACGGCTAAAAGGGAAGAAGCTACGATGCTTGCGTGTCGTTAGACACTCCAAGAACAGTCTCCATATGTCGTCTGAGATCGTTCAAGTACCTAGTGGAGTTGTATTCTTCTGCGTCCAAGAGTTCCTCCGAATATGTTCTTTGCAGTTTGGAATTCTGTCTTTCTTTTAGCCCGTCTAAACTGCTCTTGTCTCCCCTTAGAATCTGCACCACCTGCAATAAACATATATATACACACACATCCACTCATCACAAAGTCATTAAGCTTTAGAAAAGAGTTTGTATATCCATGTTTTGAAAACTCTTTTAGGTTTGGAGATATGCCTGGCTCATTTGAGGCCGATTCATGGAAGATTGGTGTATACACAACGATGCTGTGAATACAAGACGGCTCAACTCTTCCACATCGTAGTCATCTCCAAGCATAGGATCTACGAGTTGCTTGATCTTGTTCTCTGTAATCAATGGCTTGGCCTGCGAGAAAACAACCTCAAATCATAAAAAAATCATCGATAAATTCTACTTCATGTATAGTTTTAGTTGCTAACTTAATCACGAGATTGATTTTTGACGATTAACTTCACATACCCACATCACCAGGCTATGTTGTGAGCTGTCCAGTGCTTGTTTTCCGGTAATGAGCTCAAGAAGAAGCACACCGTATGCATATACGTCTGTTTTCTCGTCGACTATACCGTGCATGAAGAACTCTGGTGGAAGGTAACTGAAAACGAGGAGAAGAAAATGGATTAAACGAGGGATATTTGCCAAGCTTCTCTATATACGTATATGATGTTCATCTAAAAGGATTACAAACCCGAATGTGCCTTCGACTTTTGATACAGTATGGTGAGTCCATTGATCTGGAAGCCATTTCGCTAGCCCGAAATCTGAGATCTGTAGTTGAAGTCGGAAGGAGATTACCATCAAGTTAAAAATTAAAGTGATTCAGGTCTATAGAATCTGAAACAATATCAAAGTTTCTCTTTGCTGTTTATTCGGTCATACCTGAGGTTCAAAGTTCTCTGTGAGAAGAATGTTAGAAGCCTTAATGTCTTTGTGAATGATCCTTCTCTGACAGCCTTCATGGAGATAGTAAAGTCCTTCTGCAGTTCCAAAAGCAACTCTGTACCTGATGCCCCAATTCAATTTCTCCTTCGGCCCTGCAAGTGAACGTTAAACGATCAAGAACCCTTTCGAGCATCGCGTATTTCTAGCAACCGAGATGCATTAGAATGCGTATTCTCGGCATTAGAATCTTTTAGACGTGACGAAGAAAAGAGAGGATGAACCATAGAGCAAAGAAGCGAGGCTTCCATTGGGAGACAACTCGAGAACAAGGTGCATTCCTCCTTCGACGCTATATCCAATGAGCTTAGCGATGTTTGGATGATCGACATGAACTATTATCCCCAATTCGGAGAGGTAATCCATAGTCATCTCCTCGGCCGAACCTCTCGTCAGTCTCTTGATCGCCACAATCTGTCCGTCTGGCATCTGTCCCTTGTACACCTCTGCATATCCTCCTTCTCCGATCAGATTCTCTGCAGCACAAACAATATCAGAAAAAAAGGATTCGAAACAACATTATGCTACTGATCTTGCCGATTCTTGAAACTTTACCACGGCTAAAGGAATTTGTAGCGGCTTGAATATCGGCAAGAGAGAAGTTTCTCCAGGTGGGTTTGAAGTAGAACAAGTCGTCGGTGTCCAATGCAGAAGCAGGAAGGACAGGGACCATGTCATCGCGGATGCGTTTGCTTTTGCGTCTGGTCAATTTGGGAATGCTTTTCAAAGGTGGGAACGTGTTGAATGGCATTGCGGACGATCCTTTCTTCAGAAGACGGACGAAGCCACGCCAGTGACCGTTGTTTGGTCCAAAAGGAGATTGAGATTGACCTTCTGAGTCTGAAGTGCTCACCACCGAAGAGGCCGGTTCTGATTCTCCGTTTCTCGAGAACTCGTCTTCCGAGTCGTGTTTGAAGTAAGTAGTGTTCTCCTCCTCAGGACACAGTGATGCCAAATCTGGTTAAAAAAAAACAATGAGATTGTGTTTGATCAGTGCGTTGATGGTGTCCTGTTCTAGAAAGTTTGAAGATTGTGTTTGCATCAAGAAAATGAGAAAAAAAAAATCTGAAATCTCGACTATTCTAGTAATGTTGACCATGAGAAGAGAAGGAATCAGAGAAACCGGCCCGGAATCTCCTAGCTGAGACAGGAGTTGTTTGTTTAGAACGATTCTCTGAATCCATGTCCTGGAATCTGGCACTGCAAGATCACAATATATGTCAGATCTTTAAGATCAATTCAATACGCTGTGTAGAAACTTGGGGAGGAAGAAACAAAGGAGACAGAGCTAAACTAGCTGACAATCTGAGATCAATGCAGTTCGATCACCGAGAAAAAAAAGCAGTAGGAATCAGAAAACTCGCCAATGATCAAACTTTTTGTTTCGATTCTTCTAAAAGACAATCGTTGCGTGGTCATTGCATGACCAGTCTGCAGAACAATGAAACAGAGCAAAGCATACATAAACGTGACATGAAAATCTTACAAAAAACCCCATGTAACAAGAGCAAAAGATTGTGCCGGAACTCCTCTCTGAGCGACATTGTATCGAACACCTTGAACGGATCATCGGATCAAAGGGAAAAAGGACACGACACAACAAGATCGTATAGTTTCCTCTGTAAGCAACAGTTTCTCAGATTTTCTCAGCAACCAAACAGAAATCAACCAAAACGAGGAAAAAGCACCATCGTATCAGACACCTTGAACAAGACATTGAAAACAGAGAGGGGGGGGCACAAAGTGCGGAAATAGCGAAACACCATATGGAACAGAGAAATTAGAAGAAAAAAAAATTACCAAGACGATTGGGAAGAGGGAGGAAGAGTCTCAGAGTGTCGAACGTCATCCATGGGTTCTCAGACAAAGAGAGAGGAGGGAATGAGAGGAGAGTGGCGAGGAGAGACACAACAGAAACACAGAGAAAGGAGCGGGAGGCATGTCATGTCGGATTACAGGTATTGCTTCCTCTTGAGGCCTCATGTTTTCTCTCCTTTGACTAAATCTTTCTCCATTTTTCCTCGTAACTCGCCTTTTCTTTTGGACGCTTTGTCTCCTCTGTTAATTATCCATCTCTCCTTTTTTTGTTAAATAAATAAAATAAATCGGCCAATTAATTTTAGCAAAAATCCCATTTCTTTTTATTTCTCAAAACATAATTATGCCACGAGAATATTCCATGTAGGGGCTGTTTGATTATATTTGATGACCCTCTCTAATTAAGGAAGTGAAACTAAGATTCATATGGTTCTTGGATTCATGTGTTACAACTTTGTTATATGCCACGTGGCATATGTTTAAATGTCCGTTTATAATTTTTTTAATGTCACGTTCTAATTAGTTTATGTTATGTCCCTTTTCTATGCGCAAAACATACATCCCGAGCACTTCTCCATTTTGTTGTTATGGACTTCGACTTAGTTGACATACATGTATGTGTAAATGACTTCATATATATATATATATTTATATATCATATGCTAAAAGTTATTGAAAAACATATATATATATATATTATATCATATGTATTTATATTATAATAATAAGCTTATTGAAAAAAAAAGTTGTAATTGAAAATGAAAATTTTTATTTCCAATTTTTAATATGGGCCACATAACCCATAAGATTATATTACGTAACATAAAGCCCAAAATGAAACTATAGGCCCAAACTAGTCACGGGAGGTGTAAAAAAATTGATAAGCTATAAGACGGCGTCGCTTTTTCAGAATAAGAACGGAGCGCGGCAGAGAGAACTCCTTGTGAACCGGTTTCGGAGCCAAGCCGGCGAAATTATTGTACGAAGTCTGACGACGACGACGACGACGACGACGAAGGAGAAGCAGAGCAATAACAATGGCGTTCAGGCCTTTCGGGAGGGATGTAGGGCCGTCTACGAACCCGAAGGCTTCTCCTTTCACGTCGTTCGGCTCCTCCCCTCCTGCTGTTCCCTCCAGGTGCGTTTTTGATTGCGTGATATGTGCATATGCTTTGTTTTCACGATCGAGTATTCATGGATTCCTAAGCTTTCTAGGTTGATTTTGCGTTACGGATCTTGTGCGTTCTCGCTTTTTTCTTGGTTTTCGAACAGTTGAATTTAAATTCGAGCTTGTTTCTGACGTTCGATTGAGGTGTTTAGGGTTTTAAAATGACTGATAAACCTGTTAAGGTGAGGAGTATGCTGATTTTGGTTATGGAATTGTGTTTTATTATTATATGGTCTAGTTAGCTCTGAGCTTCATGAGGTAGTTCAGGTACTCGCTGGAAATTGGATTTGTTTGGTTATTTGTGTTGAGTGAGCTGCTTGTTTCTTTATTTTGCTGTCCTCTCAGTTTTTTTTTTTTTTTTTTTGAGGAGTATGCTGATTTTGGTTATGGAATTGTGTTTTATTATTATATGGTCTAGTTAGCTCTGAGCTTCATGAGGTAGTTCAGGTACTCGCTGGAAATTGGATTTGTTTGGTTATTTGTGTTGAGTGAGCTGCTTGTTACTTTATTTTGCTGTCCTCTCAGTTTTTTTTTTTTTTTTTTTTTTTTTTTTTTTTTTTTTTTTTTTTTTTTTTTTTTTTTTTTTTTTTTTTTTTTTTTTTTTTTTTTTTTTTTTTTTTTTTTTGCGTCTATCCACAGATACTAACCTTGCTTACTGGGGTTTTCATTTACAGTGGTCCCCTTACTCAGCGAGCACAGCCTCTGGCTTTTCAAAACCCTTCACCCTCTGCGGCACAACCTTACCGGCCTGTTGAAATTCAGAGGTTAGATAATCTCGATTTTCTTGCTGATTTGGTTTCTCTTTCGTCTCTTTTTCTCAGCTTTTTTGTACCTTTAGAATATCATAGTAGATAGTATGTCCAGGTCAAATGTGTTTGATTCAGGAATCAGGACAGCAGGTGATGGGCAGAGTTGACTTGTCTTATTTTCTTGAGAGTTAGTTGATTAAGCTCCCAAAATGTTGGTTTAGATTCTTGATCGAGTTGTCTGAATGCTTGCTACCCTGAAAATCACAGCAGAACTGGAACTTATTGTTGATATGTTTTTCAGGAGTCCTGAACTAGTTAATAGAACGCCATCGCCTCCTTTGACCTTTCTGAATCCTAGCCCCGTTGCAAGACCTCACCGATCTCCTGGAGCCCATGGGTAACTATCTGCCGCATACAGTTCCCACCTAGAAAAACATCATAATGAGCCGCTTGGTTATAGTGTCAATGTTACAATGTACATGTAGGAAATATTTGAATTGCCCATGCTAGAAAGAATGACAGTAAAAAGAAGGGAAGAAAGAGGTGGACTTTACTCCCCTTTTAAAGGCCTAATACATATAGTTTTTGATATGAATGCAGTGGTCTAGGAGCTCCAAATAGATTTCCATCTCCTAATGTGGCTTATCAATATTCTCCTAGTCCTTATCAAGCTGCTGGAGTTCAGAGGTTAGAATCCTTGCCTTTTACTTCTGCTTAATTTTCCCACAAATTGCTCAAAGTACTTCATACATTTTGTTTCCGCACAATCAAGGTCTTTCTCGATGGAACATGGTGAACAAAATGTAGCTGCTTCTCCACCTAGTGCATCGTATGTTCTCTCCAGAAGTTATGGAAGCGATGCTGCTGTGATTGGTCGATTACAAGATCCTAGACGAAAAAGGTCATTTATGCCATTTCCTTTATATAAATATAATCTACGAGATGCTGAGCAACCTCCTTCGCTATGAAATAATCTGTCTGTTCTACATCACTATCTTTTTCTTAGCAAATGCTCTAGTGTTTTTAGGCCTTAAGTAGAACTTTTTTTTTTGCCAGATTGTGTGATTATTTTACCCTTTTGTTCAAATTTGGGAGCTTCTCTTTATATTAAAATGCTGGGAATTTGAGTTGAGATTTTTCCTGCTAGGCGATTATGTTTGTCCAATCTAGTAATGCTTGCATGAGATGACAACTCACAAATTCTGCATTTATTTTGCAGCCGTCCAGATCATTCTCCTGATAAGAATTTTGGTTTTCCTCAAAGAAAGCAATTGGCAATGTCGGGTTTTGAGAATGGCCAGTCTGTGGATGATTTTCAACTTCCATCTAGCCAAACCTGCAAGTAAGTTTTTTCACCTGTTCACTCTTGTACTTCGTCTTAAGTAATGCTAGATTGGTTTACTTCAATTGATGCCTGGAGAAGTTCTTCTGTTCGTTGCTCCTAAAACTATCATGAAAATATCTTGCATATTTTAAAACTATCATGAAAATATCTTGCATATTTTAAAACTATCATGAAAATATCTTGCATATTTTGTGTTGTGATCGACAGTGATTTGAACCATCAAGGAGCCGTTTGCTTCATTCCATTTTGATTTCGGTACAGATTTTCTTGCTGATTTCCATGAATCTCGTTTCATGAAACATTTTGTAATTCCTGTGCAGGCGTTCTCCATCCTCTGCAGAGGCTAATCTTGTAAGGTTTAAGAGCAATGCTCGCCAGGTGACCCACGTAGATATATCCCCAAACCCGTCTTACCCAGATTCCTATGAAGTAGCTGAAATTCAGGTTGCTGCGAGAAGAAAGCCCTCTCCAGCAGCACCATCGAATAGAGTTTTACAAGATAACTCCAGATTGCCTCAAAATGATTCTAGAAGGTAGCTATATGAAGTTTACGTATTTTGAAACCTCACTATTTGTTTCTTTTTTGTTTCTCCTTATTTTAGCTGTATATATGAAAGGCACAAGTAATCAAGATTCGAAATATGTCATACATGCTAAAGTTGTTTGACGAGTCAGATAAATTTCATCTTCACCTTCGATTCGAAGGAACCCCTAGCAAAATCTTTGCTACTAATTTGTGAAATCATGCTTATGTCTCTTGTCGTTTTATCCTCCTTTCTCTCTCTAGTTGCATGTGTTTGTAAATTGCTCTTAGGCTAGCGTGCTGCTTCTATGTTAGGGTTTCAAATCCCCCTGGAATGGGCACAAGGATACATAATACTTTGAGAAGTTCAGACTCTGTACCTCCTGCACAGTCATCATTTATGAACAGTTCTTTGAATCAAACTAGGAAGACTACTGTCTCACCTGCGGCGAAAAGAACAAGATCTCCTCCTCTTCTTTCAATAGAAGAGGCTGTCCAGGGAAACTCTGGTCTTTCTCAAGATGGTACTGAACGGTAAATCGTTAAAATGCATAGTATATACTCTTAAAAGGATATGTCAACCACTCTCAGTTATCTTTTCTGAACTATTTGTCTGTTCTACAGAGAAGAACAAGCCAAAGCAAAAAGACTTGCTCGTTTCAAGGCTGAATTGGAGCCTATGGCAGTCCGATCTGTTGAGGCTCAAGATACTAAACCACTTGTCAATAGAACTATGAAGCCTCTGAGGAATAAACAAAATTTCAGTTCTCTGGAATCAAACAGAGATGCCCTGAATGGAGATGCACTGCTTGAGCATGAAAGTTCGGAGCAGTCTTCTATTATTGGGTTATGCCCTGATATGTGTCCTGGTAAGTTTAGTCTTAGATCAAGCTTGTGGAAATACTGAGTGTTTTGGCTTTCATTTGTTTTATGCCCTGTATATGATGAGGAAACAAGGGCTCTTGAATCTACTTCTATGTGGCCCATAACTGTGAGAACTGAAAATCTAGTTCTACAGATGATTTGATGCAAGAATGAATTTATTGATGGAATCGATCTTCATCATTTGCAGAGTCAGAACGGGAGGAAAGAGAAAGAAAGGGTGACTTGGACAAACACGAACGTGTGAATGGTGATCGGAACCAGACTAGCAAATACATTGCTGTGAAGAAAGTAAATTCGTGATTTATTCAGCTCAATTAACTGTTTTATTCTTTTCATAGATGTCTTAACTACGATGCCCAAGTGCTGTGATGGTTTCTTACGCATTGGTCTGATGCAGTATAACAGGACAGCTGAGCGAGAAGCAATATTGATACGGCCGATGCCAATCCTGCAGAAGACAATGGATTATCTGCTAAGTTTGCTAGACCAATCTTATGATGACAACTTTCTTCGCCTTTACAATTTCTTATGGGATAGGATGAGAGCTATTCGAATGGATCTAAGGATGCAACACATTTTTAATGAGGAAGCTATCATTATGCTGGAGCAAATGGTATTACTTTCTGGCATTCTGTAGAACTCTTGGGATAGGACGATTTGCCACATTCTATCGTTGGTGTTTGCTCCTTACACTGGATGCTTGTGTTGATTTTCTTGTGACAGATAAGACTTCACATAATTGCAATGCATGAATTATGTGAATATACTAAAGGAGAGGGCTTTTCGGAGGGATTCGATGCACACCTGAATATTGAGCAGATGAACAAGACATCAGTTGAGTTGTTTCAAATGTATGATGACCATGGGAAGAAAGGAATAAATATTACTACAGAGAAAGAATTTCGTGGCTATTATGCCCTTCTCAAACTCGACAAACATCCTGGTTATAAGGTAAGTCATGTGTAATTTGAAATATCATCATGATTTTTGTGTACATTTTGCATCTAAAAATGTGCTGTTCCTGTTAGGTTGAACCTGCAGAACTTTCACTTGAGCTTGCAAAGATGACTCCAGAAATCAGGCAAACTTCAGAAGTTCTCTTTGCCCGCGATGTAGCAAGGTTGTTCCTTTACTTTTCTTTCTGGATGTTGTTTTTATGAATTTGATCTAATCAACTAAATCATCCGGATAACAGAGCTTGTAGAACTGGCAACTTTATTGCATTCTTCCGCCTTGCGAGGAAAGCAAGCTATCTTCAAGCATGCCTAATGCATGCTCATTTTGCCAAGGTAGGCAATTTTTAGTGTTCAAGCTAGGACATAGTTTTCTGGTAATGTTGGTTTTGATTATTTCGCAAAGATCTAATTGAGTTTCTATTTTTACCAGCTAAGAACTCAGGCACTTGCTTCTTTGCACTCGAGTCTCCTAAATAATCAGGGTCTTCCAGTCTCTGATGTTTCAAAGTGGATAGGAATGGAGGTATCCATTCGCTATTCTCTCTTTCTTTCTCTCTCTATTTCTCTGTGACGGGGAAATTGGTAGTGGTCTTACATTGTTTCTTCTGGTGATTGAATCTAGGAAGAGGACATTGAAACTCTATTGGAGTTTCATGGGTTTTCAATTAAAGAATTTGATGAGCCTTACATGATGAAGGATGGACCATTTCTTCACGTTGAAGAGGATTATCCGACAAAGTGTTCAAAACTTGTTCACCTGAAAAAGTCAAGAACCATCATGGAAGATGTGTTTGTTCCCTCTTCGTCGATTTCATCACTGTGTGAAGCTGCTGAAGAGTATCTGCCGGGTATTACCACCCATGGTCCTGCTGCACTTCCTGCCCAAACTCTTACAAGACAAACTCCTTTGCCTGTCGTTGATAAAGAAATGACTGACACTAAGACTTTCGCCTTACCGGAGGAACCCAAGCCAGTAGCTCCAGAGATTATAAAACCAAAAGTGGATCAACAGAAACAAGATGACCTTGGGGGAGCTGGCGGATTTCACTTCTCCTGGAAATTCTCCTCTCCTCCTCTTGGTTCTCCTATATTTCCTCCGGCTGAAATCCAGAATCTGAAGAAACAAAGTAATGATCATCGAAATGGTGTTTTTCCTGGGGAAATTAAGCTTCCTTTTGCAGGGGATATGCCAATGAATCTGATGTCTGGATCAGCTGTGCTACAAAGTTCTCCGAAGTCTATGCCAATGGAGATAGTGCCCATTACTTCCATCCCAGAGAATTCATCGCCTAGAGAAAATAGTTATAGTTTGGATGATGCATTGGCTGCAAATGGGACGATGAGTATCACAGAAGAGGAATTCGAGGACAACGACAACGGGGTAATCACAAATCACTATGATGAGGAAGTAGCCAGTGCAAAACTCAGGTTGATGATAAGGTATTGCAGCTTCCCATATAGGTTTTGATCATTATTTTAGGTTATTGATCTGACTTAATACTAACTGTTCATTGGATCTATACTTGACAGATTATGGAAGCGGTGGTCTTCACGTCAGAGAGAATCTCGTGAGCATAGGCAGCTAGCAGCCATAGCTGCACTGAGTTCACTAACGCTGGGCCCTCCTATCCAGTTCAACAAAAACGATGTGAGTTTTTAGTTCTGCACTTTCCTTGTCTATCAAACTGCCGGATCATGCAATCGCACTTTCTCTCATAGTGTCTGCATGCATATGTTTACCAGTGAACAAAACAAAGTTTTGTTAGCATCTACTGTTGATATTTGATAATAAAAAACTACTCTTCTTTCGTTGTGCAGCAACCAAGAGCGTCTGGTGAGATTAACATTGATCAAGCAATGAGGAAGAGGCTCAAGAAACATGAACAATCATGGTCAAGACTGAACATATCAGATGTGATAGCTGATATACTAAGTGAACGAAATCTGGACTCAAAATGTGTTTGCTGGAAGCTCATCTTATGCACTCAGATGAAACCAGTAAATGCAGCACCTTCTACAGATGGGGTTATGCATTCAACGGCCAGCCAATGGCTATTGTCAAAACTTACACCCGGCAAAGAAGATAATCTCCTGGATGACAATTTGCTGCTTTCAGCCCCTGGCATTTCAGTATGGAGTAAGTGGGTTTCAAGTGGATCTGATTTGGATTTGACATGCTGTCTATCTGTAGCTACTGATATCGAAGCCAATGATGATCTTCTCAAGACAACACTCGGTGCAAGTGCTGTTCTTTTCCTTGTGTCTACTGACATCCCTTGGAATCTCCAGAGACAACAGCTGAACAGCCTTCTTACTTCAGTACCTCCTGGTTCATACCTTCCCCTTCTCATCGTAATCAACTCCTGCAACGGAGATAGCATGGATATTGTTTTGGAGCTGGGCCTTGATGAAATCGACAAATCGAGGATATCTGCCTTTTCAGTTGTTTCTCTCTATAAGAAGGCCAAGATGGGACACGAAGATCAGTTTTTCAGTGATAAGCGGTTAAGAGACGGGCTAAAATGGCTGGCAAGCAATTCGCCTCTGCAGCCGAACCTTCACCGTGTTAAACCACGTGAACTTGTTCTGACCCATTTGAGTTTTACACTGGAGTTGCTTAAGACGATGCCAGATCAGGAAGTTGGTCCAAACCTCTGCATTTCGGCATTCAACGATGCCTTGGATCAATCAAAAGGAAACATTTGCTCTGCCGTCGAAGCAAACGCGGTAGGTTGGCCATGTCCAGAGATCGAGTTACTGGAGGATCAGAGAAGAGAAGGTTCAATCGTGAAGCGGTATCTTCCAGTCCCAGGCTGGAGCTCAGCAGAGAGCATTGAACCGCTCTTCCGCCTTGCGAGGAAAGC